ATCGCTGAACATCTCAAGAGTGAAGTCACCTTCATCATCTGGAGTGTGCCACAGTCCATTGCTTTTGATCCTGAGTTGCAAGGCATATGACCGGGCTCCCAACAAATACATGGTGAGGTGCTTCAGCATAGTCCAGCTTCGCTGAGTGGGCTTGGCCATCTGCTGCGCCAATGCTCTGATGCAGTAAGCACATTCCACCAGATCTGAAGAGAGATACATCAGAATGCCAATTGCTGATCGATATCTTGAGCAGTATGCTTGAGACAACTCTTCGGTGGTGTCAACTTCATTGACACTCTCATGACATGGCACCTTCTTTGGTTTGGCATTTTCTGGAACCCCAACCACTTCACACAGCTTCAACAAATGCTTGGGATTTTGATGAACCAAAATGGTATCTTCCTCAATCAAAACATGTGCGCGCTTCAAAAACTCTACACTGTCACCGGGGTTCTGAATGCTTTGCACTGACACCTTGTATCGGGTTTCTAACACTGGGACAAGCTTGTGTTCAAAGTAAGCACTTTCTAAAACGATCAACATGTCATCCACATGAAGCCAAATGAAACACTCTGCACTGCGAAGTAGGGATGGATAGCCTTGGCATGATTCGGCCTGAAGTTCCTGTTTGAGGAAGGAAGTCACTGAGTCAAACCACAACTGGCTGCCGTCTCTCTGCCCTGGCAACACACGTCCCAAAGCAAACAACTGACTACCATACTTCACCAATGTCGGCTGCTTCTGTGGAACCGTGAGGAATGCATCTGTGATGTCTGCGCTTGCCATGGTGTATCGAATGTTCGGATTCTGATCCTTCAGGTGCAAGTACAAAGCAGGAAGCAGCTTGCTAGTTACAGAAGAGCTGGCAGGCGAAAACAAATCTTCGCGCTCACTGAGCCAGTTGAACTCTCTGGCCACTTTGCGGGCTCGTCTGAGCCAGCAGCGTTTGCCATCTATTGTCTTGTCTCTCCATGTGATCACAAACTTTGTCGACAACATCTTAGGATTGTCACTACCTACTTGCTCTGGAGGCAGCAAAACACCTAAGGATTTGAGTCTCATGACTTCAACCAATTCCGCAAGGTTGTCAATCTCTGCCAACTGTTCAGCACCTATCTCAGGTTCACGTGGAGTCCATGGAAACATGAGTCCTTTGACCTTTGGATTCAAGTAGCCCATGACTTGTTCTCCAAATGTGCACAAGCGACCAGTGTACTCCCTAGATGAAGCACGTTCATACGGCGTTTCACCTTGTGTCACATTGAAGCGATTATGCAGAAAGCTTGCGTGGACTATTGACCATTGGTATACTGGGTGGTTTGCGCTGAAGATGATCTGGTCTCCAGCGCCGCACATCTTCTCGATCTGATTCACCAGCAAATTTGCTTGGTTACGGATGGCCTGCACTGTGGCCTCGGCTGCGCCGTTGGCCGGCTTGTTACCTGGCACAATGGTCTCAGTGGTGGTTGCAATGCCCAATGAAATCAAAACTTTCTTTGCAGTTTCGAGGATGGCAAGAGTTGATGGCTCGTTGTCACACCTGAAGCAAACACTGGTGTGTCCTGCCCATGTGACTACTCTGCAAACTTCTGAAGCCAAGAACTTCAAACATCTTCCAGCCTTCTGCTCAGTGGGCACTGCGTGCATCCACTTTGTGGATCGGTCATGGATAAACAAAACTGTCTGAGAATCTGATTCATCAGGTTTTCTGCTACAGTATCCAAAATCGAAGCTCACCACTGAATGCGCACTGGTTGCATGACTCTCGACATGATGTTGGTCTTGCCTCCCTTTATGGGCTACACGCAAGTCACACCAAGCACGATATGGTATGTGGGTCATTGCATGCTCTCTCCGCTCATGCTCTGTGGGCTCTGCTGGAACACCTGGGGCGATGACTGGGCGTTGAAGCTCTGATGCAATCTTGTGCTTGATGCTGTGAGAAGTCAGCAGCTCTTGGTGCTTGACATGTTCAACAATTCTCTTGAACAACTGTGAACGATTGCCACTCTTTGAGAGTCCTAGTGAATCACACGCGGCTTTCAGCAAAACAAGTGAACTTGAAGCATTGATACGTGAACCATCAATTGTGATCTCATCTGGGCCTGCTGCAGGTGCTGGGTCATCTACGGGCTCATCAGCAGCTACCGGATGCATATCGGGATTACCACTGACAGGTTGCATGGGTGCATCAACCATTGCATCAGGTCCCGGCTGAGCTGCCTCTGGAGTCCTTTGAGTCTCACCTGAAGCTGGCACAGGGCGATGAGACGGTGTAAGCAAGTCAAGTGGCATCACTTACGAATGAAAACCTAATTGCTCTTGAGTGCACTCAACGGCATGTCCAAGTGTCATGACTGCATTGATTCCTTTGGGATTTGGGATTGTGGCATTCATGGAAACGAGGTCTGAAATGAATTGGTTGTGCTCTACCAAATGCCATTCATCACCACGTCTGACCAGCGTTGTCCTGTACCAAAGCAAACTCATCGAAGGTGCCGTGGAAACATCTACAAAAGCAGGTCTGTTTGTGATGATACCCCAACAGTCCAGTCCAAGCAACGTCCAGACATTACGTATCGAGTTAAGCTTGCTTTCCAGCTTCACTGTGCAAACATGCTGAATGGAATCATCACTGCAACCACTGTCATCAGTTAACACTCGAATGCAACCTGTGATGCAGAGTGAATTTCTCTTGAAACCCACTGGGATACGTCTTCCAGCCTTCTGCAAGGACAACCCTTCACTGTCAGTGTGCACTTCCCAGCCGTTTCTAACTAAACGACCAAGTGAAATCAACGGAGATGTGACTGAAGCAATGATGAACTCTTCACGCAATGAAACATCACCCAGTGAGGAGCGCCAACTGAGGCATAGTCCAAAGGGAGTGCAGAGCCATCGGCGCCACTATCCAGAATGATGTCAACTGCCATGTGGGTGTTCCCAAAAGTCCGAATATGGTCACAATTGTCCCATGCATACGTCCAGTCTTCATCATGATCCGTGTATGTCATGTCAAAGCACTGAACTTCACTTGCAGCAAAACACTCTGAGCCACATGGAAAACAAGTTGCAACTATCGCTGAAATTTGGCCATCGAAAATCTCCAAACCAGGAAGCTCATCTACAAACACTGAAGAACTATCTTCCCAAAGTGGTTCAAAAGCAACGTCGAACTTGCGAACTTGAAGATGTCTTAGGGCTTGCAGTTGGAGAACTTTGTGCAACATATGTAGTGTGAGGGCTTGAAGTGATGGAAGCTGAAGGCGAAGAAGGAGGTTGAGAAGAGGAATCATGCTGCTCAACTTGTCTCACAGTACCATTCTGCTTATCTCGAAGAAATTTCCGACAATCACGTTTCCAGTGTCCTGCTTTCTTGCAGTACAGGCAAACATTGCTTTCAGCGTCTGGTTGCTTGCCCTTGCCCTTGTCAGCCTTCGATTTGCCTTTGTCGAACTTACCTTTAGTTCCTTGCTTACCTTTACCTTTGTCCGATTTGGACTTTCCGCCTGGCTTGCCTTTGCCCTTGTACTGAACCATATCTACTTCCATAGGTTGAGGACCATTGTTCGGCTGAGTTCCTGCGATTCCAAATTCAGTATGAATCCGCTGTGAAGACCAACTGTTGGTGACCGACTCGAAACCCAAAACTTTGGTACGTACTGTGCTATATGTACTGGTATCCTCGAGGTTGAGTTGAACATGTTGACGAATATGAGCAGGGAGGCAACGGATCAAAACAGAAAGTGCAACTTCTTCCGGAACATGGTGGCCACAAGCTTTGTGATATTCTGACATCAGCCTATCCAACCCTTGAACATGATCATACAATGACTTCTCCTTGTTGAAAGCTGGTAATCCCATGATCGCTGCCAAAATCGCCATGGAACGAGGCGTTGTGTTGGGCGTATATAGCTTCACAAGCTGCCGATAGACCTCAAGGCCGTTGCGTTTCTGCACGGACCGAAGGACCTTCAATGCTCTGCTCCTCAAAAGTCCCACGAAAATGCTGTGCAGTTCGCGAGCTCTCGCTTGAGCATCATCCGGCAGTAAATCAATGTCTACCTCTGCATCCGGGTCCTTTTCTACATCCTGCATGTCTTTCTCGAAGTTCTCATCGGCTGCGCACAGCCATGCTTTCAAGTTCAGGAGGAAATCTGGCCACGCTGCCTGCTCGGCATCTACACCGTTTGCTACGAACGGATCCGGCATTCGGACCATCTTTCCAGCATTGGAGAACTTGCTAGTGCCACTTGCAGCTTGCGTCAGCGACGTCGGCTGCGAGGTCGCCTGCGTCACTTGCGCTGCTGCTTGCTGCGCTGCAAATTGTTCTTGGGCTTGACGCAATGCTGTTGAAGATTGCGCCACATTGTTTGCTGCCGCGATCAAGGCCGCAGCTAGCTGCTGCGCTTCTGTCTGCGGATCTGTGGCCATCTCACGGACCTCTAAGGCCCGACCAGTGAAACCGCGATGCCTTCCAAAGGCTTTTGCAGAAGCCAGTCACCTGTGGATCTCTAAGATCTCAACTGCAGCAGTCACAGCACTGAAGCTTATTGCTCTGCCCGGAGCGAGAGGATCTAAGCCAACACGGATGCCCTTCGGGTCCGTGTTGGACCGTCAGGGCTCCGCTACCATGCGAACTTTTCTTGACCACAAAACGCCTCGGTACGAGTACTGAGTTCAAGTTCCATTCTACACTTGATCATAGCCTTTAAGGCCATGAAAGTAAACTCTGTGGTTTCCTCAAGAAACTGTTAGCTTCACTCTCTCCAAATGAAACGTGTGTCACGTGGAAAAAGTGTGTGCGGCTATATATATATATATATATAGCTAAGCTATGGTGCTGACTATACAGGTACATATAGCTGTATGCACAGGTGCAAAAGGTTAAGCACAAAGGAAAGGGCAAAGGAAAAGGAAAAGGGAAGCTGGTCAAGAGCAATTTGACTCTCGAGCAGCGTCGAGCGAAGCTGAGTGAGATCAAGGCTCGCAGTCCTTGCATGCGGCGCGGCGCCACAGGACACTGGGCAGGAGATGCTGCTTGCAAGTTCCCTTCGGCTGGAAGCAAGCCGCAGGCATCCCAACCTAGGGCTGCGATGATGGCCTACATGTCTGACTCGTCATCCGATGATGGTGACTGTGTGATCCTGACCCATGGACACAGCAGTACACCGACGGCCATGATGGGTTATTCGGTTGCAAGAGGTAGACCCAAGGGCGCCCCAAAACCAACCGCCAAGCCATCAGTTCCAGTGCCGTTGCTCGACCCTATCAGGGACCAGTTGCCATGGAGCCGTTGCCCAAGCCTAAGTCCAAGAGTGCAGCCAAGAAAACACCCCCAAATCCCCCGATTGAGAAGTGTACCAATTGCAGAGATTTCACATTCAAGGGGAGTATTGCATACACGGTGAAGAAGACATGTAGAGATTGTGGACATGTGACGGTGACCCGTAGGGAAGAAAGCTATCAGTTTGCGTTTGAGAATTGTCCCACACGGATGTTGATCACCGTGGAAGTTCCAAGATATTTTTTCGCGCGTTTTGCAAACAGTGTGGAAACTTCATCAATGAGATGCCAATTGCCGAACATCAGCATAGAGTTCAGGTGGCCGAAAGAGTTGAGAACACAGACCCCCAAACATTGCAAGTGGTTACCAATCTGACTGGGGATGGTGCCGGTGATCGCATGTCAAGTGCTGAAATCCAAGCCGTGTTGGCCGTATTCACTCAGAGCTTGCTTGACTCAGGCCCGAAGTCACCAGCAAACCTTCACAAAGAGCTGGATGACGCGATCATCGAGGTGATGGCGGTGCAGGACCCGGAAGCCTACCCACCAGATTCCGATGACCCAGAAGATTGAGCACAACTGGATGAGGGGGCTGCGTTGACGTTGGCGGAGTTGACGGGACCCAGAGGTTTCACTGGCTGTGCGGGCAAACCCCGACACAGGTGATGTAGAATTGACCCTTCCAGTGCTTGACATCATGAGCATGAGTAACCTCGATGTATACTCAGCACTTGACGAGGGGTGTAATTCTACTTGCCACAGTCAACAATGGGCTGAGATGTGTAACAACAAACTCGCAAAATATGGTGTAACCTTCAAGTGGGTCAACCATGATGTCACGTCGTTTGTGGGCATTGGTGCCAAGACTGGCACGTGTGGCAGCAGAAGCATGCCGATCGGCCTTGAAGCCTTGGACGGCTCAGTGATCAAGGGGAAGTTAGAGTCATACGAAATCCAAGGCAACACATCAACCCCACTCTTGTTATCACTGTATGCCCAAGTGACATTAGGAATGATCAAGGACCTCTCAGCTGGCAAGGTGTTTGTGACAGTGAACAACGTTCAGCGTGAACTACCATTGGCAAAATGTAGTAAGACAGGACTGTTGCCAGTGAACCTCACTTCGGGCATCCGCACTGAATGTAACAAACTCCCCAAACATGAATCCCCAGCACAGGCACTTAAGTTTCTTAGGCCTTTCCGCCCAGCGGCGTGTGTTGCAAACATGGACCGTGGCCATGTGGTGTTCCAATTCAACGGAGACGTTGGGACAACCACGAATCTTGAAGGACAACACAATTGCGTGTCGATTGTGACCGGTGGCGAGCTGACGAGATTGAGCCCACGGCAGGCAGACGGCAAGGTGATCCTGCCGATTGACGTTCGTGAGACCCACGATCCGGATGGTGGAACTCACAGGTCGCACATTGGAAGGAACCACCATATCATTGGGACTGGTGAGTTCGAATTCTCCGTTGATGATTCGACTTCTTGGAGAAGCCATGGACCATGTGCACCAGTATGGAACCGAGGCGGCAATTCTCTTCACCTGCCGAAGCAATAGGCACCGTTCAGTTGCTGTTGGAACGGTTTTTGCTGTTCTGTGCCATTTGGCAGGGCACGGGTTTCATGTGACCCATGCCGAGGCGCACCACGCTTGGGGCTCTATGAGGTGCGGTGGTCAATGCAGGGTCTCGAGCCGGTGTGGAGCGCATCATCGGCCTTTGCTGGGAAGTGTTCAAGGCCCTGGGAATCCCCGAGGACAAGATGTATGAGCCTTGGGAGAATGCGGGGCCGATTATCCGTGGATCTCTGGCGACGGCGAGGATTCGTGGGGCGTACGTGAGAGATCGCTCCGACAGTGGAGGCGGTGCAAGCGTGACGCCTGGAGGTCGAGTTGGAGCGTCAACTCACGACTATGACCAGTTGGCCAGACTGTCACAGGCGATGCACTCCGTGCAAGAAGAGATGCAGAGAGAGCCCACGGGAGAAGACATCACGAGGAGATTCGAGATCACGACATCGTGGGCGAGGACGTGATTCAAGGAGACGGAGTGACTCACGAGCTCGTGGTCGACGAGGTGATTCCCGGAGACGCTCGAGGTCAAGGCCAAGGGAACCAAGAGCACCAGAACGACCTCCCCGACGACCGGCGGCGCCAGAGGACCCACGTCCGAGAGCTGCAGCTGTTCCGATGATGCCGGCCGTGGACAACGTATAGGCCAATACGTCGGAGACAGAGCCGTGGGGGAGGTGTCGCGTGACCAATGGGGGATCACGAGCGGGTTGCGCCCGTGGAACCCCGATGATCCCTATGGGGTCCGATCGCCAGGCAAGCGAGATATCGGTGGACGCATTGAACGCCATGATCGTGAAGTCAGGAGCCCACGATCGCATGATGTGGGAAGGCCCAGGCGATCGCAATCAGAACGAGGTCAACGTGAGATTTCAGACAAAGGTCAGAGGATGTACGACGACGATGACAAAAAGGCCCTACTGGATGAGAGCGTGGCGACGAAGTGCCTGGTCGTATCAAAATGATACCTGGAGCATGATTGAACGCCGCTCGCTGCCAGCACCCCCCAAACCACCAAGACCACCAAGACTTTTGGGAAAACCTCCAGTGAGATGAGTGTGACACCTCGGGTCAAGGACGAACCCTGTGACACCCCACACCAGCATGAGCATGTGTGCAACGTGGCCATCCTTCGAACAGGTTACGTTGGTGATTCATCAAGTTCTGACTCCACTCAAGATGGTTCACGTGGTTTGATCTTGCATGTTGATGATGATGGTTTAGTTGAGACTCCGAGAGTACCCAGAAGCCGTTATTCCCCACATCATGGTGTTCACATCATATCCCCTCTTGGCCGTGCGCCCCAACGTCAGGACCGTGGACACCGGTTGGAATGGTGAGAACCTTGTGGCGATGCAGGGCACGCCAGATCTGTGGGACATGTTTCAAGGTGTTGACTTCTTTGTTTTCATTATTGGTTATGATTCAGAAGATCATCAACTTATGCATGGTGAATTGTTGACAGAGGTTCAATCGTTTTGTGAAGCATCAGGATCACGATGGATGAACGTGGATGCATTGGACACCACAAGATGGGACCAGTATGCCGAGGTTGAAGCCCCAATCATCTGTTCCCAGTCCATTGGCATGACCACCAACGATGATGAAGTCATGGTGAGAATGGCTGTTTGGTGTGATCAAGCCAGCACGTCCCACGATGAAGATGACCCTGGAATGCCTCATGAAGAAGTGTTCACCGCGTCATTCCAAGAGCTGATTTTGGGATTAGGAGATGAATTCCATGTTGATTCCATGACGCGTGCTGCCTTCCCAGCTGCGCTGCAAGAAGAGCAGGCTGATAGGTTTCAGGTGGATCCCGATGAACCACCAGGAGCCGAGTTGAACCGTGAGGCAATGGCTGAGGAGTTGCTAGCGGATGAGCAGCTTCTGGACACAGTTGAAGTGCCAGGATTGCCCCAGAGGGAGGCAGAGCGTAGAGCTGCGTGGAAGAAACTCCCCCAAAGGGTTAGGATTGCCATCCGTCGTTTGCGTCGACAGTTTGGCCAGTGCCCCGGGAATGTTTTGGTGAACTTGTTGAGAGCTGCTAGGGTAGAAAAGAAATATGTGAATGCGGTTCGACTTGACCGTCACCGTTTGTGAAGACACAGCCCCCAAACCGAAATCACACAAAACCTCACTGCCTTATGAGTACCGGTTTGGAGCATGCCTGGGAATCGATCTCCTGGAGATCAAGGACAGCACAGGTGCTGTTTACACATGTTTAAACATGGTCGACATGGGAATCACGTTCCAGCAATTGCATGTGAGCCACCTCCATTTCCTGCAGCTTGTGGTGGGGCTTTGGGTGTGGCTGCAGGTGCCCCAGGTGTGCCTGCCCATGGTGCCTGTGCAGGCACCTGCTGGCCCATTTGCAGCAGGACAGCTGTGTTCATCTTCTCCACCAGGGCCTCATAGAAGGTCATCTCATCCATTCCTGCCAAGGGTCAAGATTGAGCTATCCAGCCCAACAAGATTTTGAGCTATCCAGCCCAACATGGTTTTGAGCTATCCTGCCCAACATGATTTTGAGCTATCCAGCCCAACATGGTTTTGAGCTGTCCAGCCCACATAGTTTTTGGTTATTGGGCTATCCAGCCCAACATGGTTTTGGACTATCCAGCCCAATTGGTTTTCAGTTTTTTGGGCTATCCAGCCCACATGCATGGGTTTCAAAAGAACTATATATATATTTATTTATTTATTTATATTGATATTTATTTACTTATTTGTGTCTGTATGCATATTTATATAAATATAGTATATCATATAAATATATGTCTGTGTATTTATATATATATACATATATATATATATACATATATATATATGTATGTATATATATATATGTATATGTATGCAGTCCTGGGGCAACTTTCTCCTTCACCTTCTCCAGAAACACTCTGTTGCTCTCCCAGTCACCTTTCTGCCCCACTTCTGGCCAGGTTTGTGAGCAGTAGAGGGACAAGTGGTTCAACCACAGCGACACAGAGATGTCTGGGTTGTAGTATTGCTGCAGCAGCCTCAGGTTGTCTCTCCAGACCCTGGCTGCACCCCCCCCTCCTTCTCCTGAGGGCACACCTTTCCCACTCCAAGACTCCACATAGCCCTTGCCTTTGCCCTTGTCAGCCTGGTTGCCACCCTGCTGGTTCTGGTTGTAGCTCATGGCTGCTAGCTACACAGTCGCTTTTTTCTTGGGCCACAGGCTGGTGCAACATGAAATCAAACCAGTTCCATGCCACTAAGCCACTGCACAGCCAGAAGCCAGCTGCAAAACAAAGTTTCCAAATACATGGGCATGAATAAAAACTGTTGTTTCTTGTTTGGTATGTTGTAGGCTATCCAGCCCAAATTATTTTCCAGACAAAAATCAAAATGTGTGCTACCCAAGCTATTGTTTTGAGGCACCCAGCCCAACATGGTTTTGAGCTATCCAGCCCAACATGGTTTTGAGCTATCCAGCCCAACATGGTTTTGAGCTATCCAGCCCAACATGGTTTTGGGCTATCCAGCCCAACATGGTTTTTAGATTTTGGGCTTTCCAGCCCAATATGGTTTTAGGCCATCCAGCCCACAAAGTTTTTAGCTGTTGTGTTAATGTGTTTTCCAGCCCAGCATGGTTTGGGGCTATCCAGCCCACATAGTTTGCAGCTTTTGGGCTATCCAGCCTAACATGGTTTTGGGCTTTCCAGCCCATATGATTTTGAGCTAGCCAGCCCAGCATCTATTTGGGCTGGAGAGCTCTACATACTGAGCAAGCTCAGCTTTTTTTTACAGCCATGGTTTTGGTCGCCTCTGGGTCTACTCCTGCCCCAGCTTCAACTTCTTCCATGCCCTGGCAGCACCCAAGCTTTCACCACTCTGCAGCTTCTGCATGATGCTCTTGGCCAGCCTGTAGCTCTCTTCAACACCTTTCTTGCTCACAACCTGCAGCAGTTGCCTCCCCTGTGACAATCTTACTGCACAGGCCCCAGTGCTCTTGTACTCCATCAAATGCATCTTTTTCCCTTTCACAACCAGGTCATTTGCCAGAGGCTTCTGCTTCATGCCCTCTTTCTGGTTTTTGCCCTTGCCTTTGCCATTCTCCTGCTTGGAAGGCTTTGGCCCCTTTGCCTCCAAAGCTGCAGCATGCCTTTTCAGGCTGGCTGCTGGTCTTTTGATTGCTTCTCTGATCTGGGCCTTCTTCACAGGAATTGGGGAAGTCATCTTTGCTTCTGCCAAGCAGCTAGTACTTCCAGCAGCAGATGTGGCTGGTGACTGGGGCACAGGGATTGCCAGCAAATCCTCTGTCTTCACTGAGTTTGCAGGTGAAGCAGGGGGTGGAGCAGGCTGCTTCTTCTTCTTGGGGGAGCTCCCCACCAGTAAGGCCCTGATCTGCTCCAGTCTTGCCTCTTGCTGTGCTGTAGCTTTGCTGCATGCTTCCTGGTATCTCTTTGGGTCTTTCAACCGCCTTGCATGGTTCAGGAGCACCAAGAGGCTGCTGGCCAAATCACCATTGAGGGTTGCCTGCTGGCTCTGTGTGAATTTTGCCTTCACATCAGGAAACTGCCTCACTGTCTCTGTGATTGCTCCTTTCAGATCTGAATACTTCATTGCCAGCTCAGTGCTGACATTGGCCAAGCCCTGCAGCAGCTCCAGCTGATCAGAGAGATCTGGAGCTGAGACTGCATGCTGTGCAAGCACAGTCTTGTAGTACTTCCCCAGGTTGAAGGCAGTAGTGACACCTTGGCTCTTCACATAGGTGACAAGGGTGTCTTGGAGCTGCTCTTGGTCCACTTCAGGAACTTTGTTCCTTCTTGCCCCCCCTTTCTTCATGGCTGATCAAGAAATGCCTGCAGATCAATCCCATCAAACAATGCAAGGCTATCCAGCCCACATGCAAAATGGAGGGCTATCCAGCCCATGACAAAGGAGAGCTATCCAGCCCAACAAAGGGGAAAACCAGTTCAGCAAGAAATGCTATCCACCCCATACTTGCAGCTCAAAAATCAATAGCAAAATCAATCGCATTTTCAATAGAAAGTGAGTTTTTTTCAATCGTGTTTTCAACTGATAAGATTTTAATTTCTATTGATTTTTTGTTTGAAAAAGCCATTTTCAATCGCCACTTGATTTTGTTCAAAAATCAATAGATCTATTGATTTTTTTCAATCGAGGATGCTTTGGGAGTTCGTAAATCTGCAAGCTCTTCATCGTTCTGCAGTGTGTCGTGCAACTCGTGTACCTGCTCAATGCATCTGCATAGGTATGTGTACACATTGATCTTGTGGAAGCCAGTCTCGACTCCCACCAACTCTTCACGCAGCTCTTCCTCAGGTTCTGGCTCTGGAAGGTCGTTGGGTGCAGGATACATCCAACAAACAAAGCTGAGGGACGCCACTGTCAGAAGCACAAGGCTCCATTGAATGCTCTGCGCATAGATCTCCACTGTTGGCATTGGGCTCAAACTATCATCCAGGCTCAAGGCGTCAGCGGACATCATCATCATGGCAAAAGCCAAACATCGAAGAAAAGCTTTCGACTTCTGAACACCTGCATGAGTTGCAGGCTCTCCCAGATTCTGTCGAATGGCTCCAAGGGTAGCCTTCATGTCTTCACTTTGCTGTTCTCTGCGAGCTTCCGTGGTTCCAACCAATTCCCTGGAGTCCATGTCATAGACGCCGGCCATGTTCATCAAGAACTTCATTCTATCACACGATAGCTTCTTTGTAGCTATGTCTGACACATTGTACTTGGTTGGAATGGAGGCAATTTCCAACTTCTTCTCCTTGACATGCTGCTGAATCCACAGGGCACGGCACGACAAATGCCTTACCCTTCCAACGCCACTTCTGAACATGATCTGCTTTGCTGCCACGTTGTCGAGTAGCAGCTTCAAACGAACTGGTTGGCGGAGGCAGAATTCAACGCATAGCTTCAAAAGTATTCCATCACATGTCACTGAGACTGCAGCGTGCAGTTCTGATTCTGCTGAACTCAAAGCAATCACTCGCTGAGATCTTGACGTTACCAGCAGTAGACATCCTCGGAAGAACACCAAGCCAGCACTGACTGAGCGTCGGGATTTCTTGCATGCGCTCCAGTCGGCATCGCTGAACATCTCAAGAGTGAAGTCACCTTCATCATCTGGAGTGTGCCACAGTCCATTGCTTTTGATCCTGAGTTGCAAGGCATATGACCGGGCTCCCAACAAATACATGGTGAGGTGCTTCAGCATAGTCCAGCTTCGCTGAGTGGGCTTGGCCATCTGCTGCGCCAATGCTCTGATGCAGTAAGCACATTCCACCAGATCTGAAGAGAGATACATCAGAATGCCAATTGCTGATCGATATCTTGAGCAGTATGCTTGAGACAACTCTTCGGTGGTGTCAACTTCATTGACACTCTCATGACATGGCACCTTCTTTGGTTTGGCATTTTCTGGAACCCCAACCACTTCACACAGCTTCAACAAATGCTTGGGATTTTGATGAACCAAAATGGTATCTTCCTCAATCAAAACATGTGCGCGCTTCAAAAACTCTACACTGTCACCGGGGTTCTGAATGCTTTGCACTGACACCTTGTATCGGGTTTCTAACACTGGGACAAGCTTGTGTTCAAAGTAAGCACTTTCTAAAACGATCAACATGTCATCCACATGAAGCCAAATGAAACACTCTGCACTGCGAAGTAGGGATGGATAGCCTTGGCATGATTCGGCCTGAAGTTCCTGTTTGAGGAAGGAAGTCACTGAGTCAAACCACAACTGGCTGCCGTCTCTCTGCCCTGGCAACACACGTCCCAAAGCAAACAACTGACTACCATACTTCACCAATGTCGGCTGCTTCTGTGGAACCGTGAGGAATGCATCTGTGATGTCTGCGCTTGCCATGGTGTATCGAATGTTCGGATTCTGATCCTTCAGGTGCAAGTACAAAGCAGGAAGCAGCTTGCTAGTTACAGAAGAGCTGGCAGGCGAAAACAAATCTTCGCGCTCACTGAGCCAGTTGAACTCTCTGGCCACTTTGCGGGCTCGTCTGAGCCAGCAGCGTTTGCCGTCTATTGTCTTGTCTCTCCATGTGATCACAAACTTTGTCGACAACATCTTAGGATTGTCACTACCTACTTGCTCTGGAGGCAGCAAAACACCTAAGGATTTGAGTCTCATGACTTCAACCAATTCCGCAAGGTTGTCAATCTCTGCCAACTGTTCAGCACCTATCTCAGGTTCACGTGGAGTCCATGGAAACATGAGTCCTTTGACCTTTGGATTCAAGTAGCCCATGACTTGTTCTCCAAATGTGCACAAGCGACCAGTGTACTCCCTAGATGAAGCACGTTCATACGGCGTTTCACCTTGTGTCACATTGAAGCGATTATGCAGAAAGCTTGCGTGGACTATTGACCATTGGTATACTGGGTGGTTTGCGCTGAAGATGATCTGGTCTCCAGCGCCGCACATCTTCTCGATCTGATTCACCAGCAAATTTGCTTGGTTACGGATGGCCTGCACTGTGGCCTCGGCTGCGCCGTTGGCCGGCTTGTTACCTGGCACAATGGTCTCAGTGGTGGTTGCAATGCCCAATGAAATCAAAACTTTCTTTGCAGTTTCGAGGATGGCAAGAGTTGATGGCTCGTTGTCACACCTGAAGCAAACACTGGTGTGTCCTGCCCATGTGACTACTCTGCAAACTTCTGAAGCCAAGAACTTCAAACATCTTCCAGCCTTCCGCTCAGTGGGCACTGCGTGCATCCACTTTGTGGATCGGTCATGGATAAACAAAACTGTCTGAGAATCTGATTCATCAGGTTTTCTGCTACAGTATCCAAAATCGAAGCTCACCACTGAATGCGCACTGGTTGCATGACTCTCGACATGATGTTGGTCTTGCCTCCCTTTATGGGCTACACGCAAGTCACACCAAGCACGATATGGTATGTGGGTCATTGCATGCTCTCTCCGCTCATGCTCTGTGGGCTCTGCTGGAACACCTGGGGCGATGACTGGGCGTTGAAGCTCTGATGCAATCTTGTGCTTGATGCTGTGAGAAGTCAGCAGCTCTTGGTGCTTGACATGTTCAACAATTCTCTTGAACAACTGTGAACGATTGCCACTCTTTGAGAGTCCTAGTGAATCACACGCGGCTTTCAGCAAAACAAGTGAACTTGAAGCATTGATACGTGAACCATCAATTGTGATCTCATCTGGGCCTGCTGCAGGTGCTGGGTCATCTACGGGCTCATCAGCAGCTACCGGATGCATATCGGGATTACCACTGACAGGTTGCATGGGTGCATCAACCATTGCATCAGGTCCCGGCTGAGCTGCCTCTGGAGTCCTTTGAGTCTCACCTGAAGCTGGCACAGGGCGATGAGACGGTGTAAGCAAGTCAAGTGGCATCACTTACGAATGAAAACCTAATTGCTCTTGAGTGCACTCAACGGCATGTCCAAGTGTCATGACTGCATTGATTCCTTTGGGATTTGGGATTGTGGCATTCATGGAAACGAGGTCTGAAATGAATTGGTTGTGCTCTACCAAATGCCATTCATCACCACGTCTGACCAGCGTTGTCCTGTACCAAAGCAAACTCATCGAAGGTGCCGTGGAAACATCTACAAAAGCAGGTCTGTTTGTGATGATACCCCAACAGTCCAGTCCAAGCAACGTCCAGACATTACGTATCGAGTTAAGCTTGCTTTCCAGCTTCACTGTGCAAACATGCTGAATGGAATCATCACTGCAACCACTGTCATCAGTTAACACTCGAATGCAACCTGTGATGCAGAGTGAATTTCTCTTGAAACCCACTGGGATACGTCTTCCAGCCTTCTGCAAGGACAACCCTTCACTGTCAGTGTGCACTTCCCAGCCGTTTCTAACTAAACGACCAAGTGAAATCAACGGAGATGTGACTGAAGCAATGATGAACTCTTCACGCAATGAAACATCACCCAGTGAGGAGCGCCAACTGAGGCATAGTCCAAAGGGAGTGCAGAGCCATCGGCGCCACTATCCAGAATGATGTCAACTGCCATGTGGGTGTTCCCAAAAGTCCGAATATGGTCACAATTGTCCCATGCATACGTCCAGTCTTCATCATGATCCGTGTATGTCATGTCAAAGCACTGAACTTCACTTGCAGCAAAACACTCTGAGCCACATGGAAAACAAGTTGCAACTATCGCTGAAATTTGGCCATCGAAAATCTCCAAACCAGGAAGCTCATCTACAAACACTGAAGAACTATCTTCCCAAAGTGGTTCAAAAGCAACGTCGAACTTGCGAACTTGAAGATGTCTTAGGGCTTGCAGTTGGAGAACTTTGTGCAACATATGTAGTGTGAGGGCTTGAAGTGATGGAAGCTGAAGGCGAAGAAGGAGGTTGAGAAGAGGAATCATGCTGCTCAACTTGTCTCACAGTACCATTCTGCTTATCTCGAAGAAATTTCCGACAATCACGTTTCCAGTGTCCTGCTTTCTTGCAGTACAGGCAAACATTGCTTTCAGCGTCTGGTTGCTTGCCCTTGCCCTTGTCAGCCTTCGATTTGCCTTTGTCGAACTTACCTTTAGTTCCTTGCTTACCTTTACCTTTGTCCGATTTGGACTTTCCGCCTGGCTTGCCTTTGCCCTTGTACTGAACCATATCTACTTCCATAGGTTGAGGACCATTGTTCGGCTGAGTTCCTGCGATTCCAAATTCAGTATGAATCCGCTGTGAAGACCAACTGTTGGTGACCGACTCGAAACCCAAAACTTTGGTACGTACTGTGCTATATGTACTGGTATCCTCGAGGTTGAGTTGAACATGTTGACGAATATGAGCAGGGAGGCAACGGATCAAAACAGAAAGTGCAACTTCTTCCGGAACATGGTGGCCACAAGCTTTGTGATATTCTGACATCAGCCTATCCAACCCTTGAACATGATCATACAATGACTTCTCCTTGTTGAAAGCTGGTAATCCCATGATCGCTGCCAAAATCGCCATGGAACGAGGCGTTGTGTTGGGCGTATATAGCTTCACAAGCTGCCGATAGACCTCAAGGCCGTTGCGTTTCTGCACGGACCGAAGGACCTTCAATGCTCTGCTCCTCAAAAGTCCCACGAAAATGCTGTGCAGTTCGCGAGCTCTCGCTTGAGCATCATCCGGCAGTAAATCAATGTCTACCTCTGCATCCGGGTCCTTTTCTACATCCTGCATGTCTTTCTCGAAGTTCTCATCGGCTGCGCACAGCCATGCTTTCAAGTTCAGGAGGAAATCTGGCCACGCTGCCTGCTCGGCATCTACACCGTTTGCTACGAACGGATCCGGCATTCGGACCATCTTTCCAGCATTGGAGAACTTGCTAGTGCCACTTGCAGCTTGCGTCAGCGACGTCGGCTGCGAGGTCGCCTGCGTCACTTGCGCTGCTGCTTGCTGCGCTGCAAATTGTTCTTGGGCTTGACGCAATGCTGTTGAAGATTGCGCCACATTGTTTGCTGCCGCGATCAAGGCCGCAGCTAGCTGCTGCGCTTCTGTCTGCGGATCTGTGGCCATCTCACGGACCTCTAAGGCCCGACCAGTGAAACCGCGATGCCTTCCAAAGGCTTTTGCAGAAGCCAGTCACCTGTGGATCTCTAAGATCTCAACTGCAGCAGTCACAGCACCGAAGCTTATTGCTCTGCCCGGAGCGAGAGGATCTAAGCCAACACGGATGCCCTTCGGGTCCGTGTTGGACCGTCAGGGCTCCGCTACCACGCGAACTTTTCTTGACCACAAAACGCCTCGGTACGAGTACTGAGTTCAAGTTCCATTCTACACTTGATCATAGCCTTTAAGGCCCTGAAAGTAAACTCTGTGGTTTCCTCAAGAAACTGTTAGCTTCACTCTCTCCAAATGAAACGTGTGTCACGTGGAAAAAGTGTGTGCGGCTATATATATATATAGCTAAGCTATGGTGCTGACTATACAGGTACATATAGCTGTATGCACAGGTGCAAAAGGTTAAGCACAAAGGAAAGGGCAAAGGAAAAGGAAAAGGGAAGCTGGTCAAGAGCAATTTGACTCTCGAGCAGCGTCGAGCGAAGCTGAGTGAGATCAAGGCTCGCAGTCCTTGCATGCGGCGCGGCGCCACAGGACACTGGGCAGGAGATGCTGCTTGCAAGTTCCCTTCGGCTGGAAGCAAGCCGCAGGCATCCCAACCTAGGGCTGCGATGATGGCCTACATGTCTGACTCGTCATCCGATGATGGTGACTGTGTGATCCTGACCCATGGACACAGCAGTACACCGACGGCCATGATGGGTTATTCGGTTGCAAGAGGTAGACCCAAGGGCGCCCCAAAACCAACCGCCAAGCCATCAGTTCCAGTGCCGTTGCTCGACCCTATCAGGGACCAGTTGCCATGGAGCCGTTGCCCAAGCCTAAGTCCAAGAGTGCAGCCAAGAAAACACCCCCAAATCCCCCGATTGAGAAGTGTACCAATTGCAGAGATTTCACATTCAAGGGGAGTATTGCATACACGGTGAAGAAGACATGTAGAGATTGTGGACATGTGACGGTGACCCGTAGGGAAGAAAGCTATCAGTTTGCGTTTGAGAATTGTCCCACACGGATGTTGATCACCGTGGAAGTTCCAAGATATTTTTTCGCGCGTTTTGCAAACAGTGTGGAAACTTCATCAATGAGATGCCAATTGCCGAACATCAGCATAGAGTTCAGGTGGCCGAAAGAGTTGAGAACACAGACCCCCAAACATTGCAAGTGGTTACCAATCTGACTGGGGATGGTGCCGGTGATCGCATGTCAAGTGCTGAAATCCAAGCCGTGTTGGCCGTATTCACTCAGAGCTTGCTTGACTCAGGCCCGAAGTCACCAGCAAACCTTCACAAAGAGCTGGATGACGCGATCATCGAGGTGATGGCGGTGCAGGACCCGGAAGCCTACCCACCAGATTCCGATGACCCAGAAGATTGGGCACAACTGGATGAGGGGGCTGCGTTGACGTTGGCGGAGTTGACGGGACCCAGAGGTTTCACTGGCTGTGCGGGCAAACCCCGACACAGGTGATGTAGAATTGACCCTTCCAGTGCTTGACATCATGAGCATGAGTAACCTCGATGTATACTCAGCACTTGACGAGGGGTGTAATTCTACTTGCCACAGTCAACAATGGGCTGAGATGTGTAACAACAAACTCGCAAAATATGGTGTAACCTTCAAGTGGGTCAACCATGATGTCACGTCGTTTGTGGGCATTGGTGCCAAGACTGGCACGTGTGGCAGCAGAAGCATGCCGATCGGCCTTGAAGCCTTGGACGGCTCAGTGATCAAGGGGAAGTTAGAGTCATACGAAATCCAAGGCAACACATCAACCCCACTCTTGTTATCACTGTATGCCCAAGTGACATTAGGAATGATCAAGGACCTCTCAGCTGGCAAGGTGTTTGTGACAGTGGACAACGTTCAGCGTGAACTACCATTGGCAAAATGTAGTAAGACAGGACTGTTGCCAGTGAACCTCACTTCGGGCATCCGCACTGAATGTAACAAACTCCCCAAACATGAATCCCCAGCACAGGCACTTAAGTTTCTTAGGCCTTTCCGCCCAGCGGCGTGTGTTGCAAACATGGACCGTGGCCATGTGGTGTTCCAATTCAACGGAGACGTTGGGACAACCACGAATCTTGAAGGACAACACAATTGCGTGTCGATTGTGACCGGTGGCGAGCTGACGAGATTGAGCCCACGGCAGGCAGACGGCAAGGTGATCCTGCCGATTGACGTTCGTGAGACCCACGATCCGGATGGTGGAACTCACAGGTCGCACATTGGAAGGAACCACCATATCATTGGGACTGGTGAGTTCGAATTCTCCGTTGATGATTCGACTTCTTGGAGAAGCCATGGACCATGTGCACCAGTATGGAACCGAGGCGGCAATTCTCTTCACCTGCCGAAGCAATAGGCACCGTTCAGTTGCTGTTGGAACGGTTTTTGCTGTTCTGTGCCATTTGGCAGGGCACGGGTTTCATGTGACCCATGCCGAGGCGCACCACGCTTGGGGCTCTATGAGGTGCGGTGGTCAATGCAGGGTCTCGAGCCGGTGTGGAGCGCATCATCGGCCTTTGCTGGGAAGTGTTCAAGGCCCTGGGAATCCCCGAGGACAAGATGTATGAGCCTTGGGAGAATGCGGGGCCGATTATCCGTGGATCTCTGGCGACGGCGAGGATTCGTGGGGCGTACGTGAGAGATCGCTCCGACAGTGGAGGCGGTGCAAGCGTGACGCCTGGAGGTCGAGTTGGAGCGTCAACTCACGACTATGACCAGTTGGCCAGACTGTCACAGGCGATGCACTCCGTGCAAGAAGAGATGCAGAGAGAGCCCACGGGAGAAGACATCACGAGGAGATTCGAGATCACGACATCGTGGGCGAGGACGTGATTCAAGGAGACGGAGTGACTCACGAGCTCGTGGTCGACGAGGTGATTCCCGGAGACGCTCGAGGTCAAGGCCAAGGGAACCAAGAGCACCAGAACGACCTCCCCGACGACCGGCGGCGCCAGAGGACCCACGTCCGAGAGCTGCAGCTGTTCCGATGATGCCGGCCGTGGACAACGTATAGGCCAATACGTCGGAGACAGAGCCGTGGGGGAGGTGTCGCGTGACCAATGGGGGATCACGAGCGGGTTGCGCCCGTGGAACCCCGATGATCCCTATGGGGTCCGATCGCCAGGCAAGCGAGATATCGGTGGACGCATTGAACGCCATGATCGTGAAGTCAGGAGCCCACGATCGCATGATGTGGGAAGGCCCAGGCGATCGCAATCAGAACGAGGTCAACGTGAGATTTCAGACAAAGGTCAGAGGATGTACGACGACGATGACAAAAAGGCCCTACTGGATGAGAGCGTGGCGACGAAGTGCCTGGTCGTATCAAAATGATACCTGGAGCAATGATACCTGGAGCATGATTGAACGCCGCTCGCTGCCAGCACCCCCCAAACCACCAAGACCACCAAGACTTTTGGGAAAACCTCCAGTGAGATGAGTGTGACACCTCGGGTCAAGGACGAACCCTGTGACACCCCACACCAGCATGAGCATGTGTGCAACGTGGCCATCCTTCGAACAGGTTACGTTGGTGATTCATCAAGTTCTGACTCCACTCAAGATGGTTCACGTGGTTTGATCTTGCATGTTGATGATGATGGTTTAGTTGAGACTCCGAGAGTACCCAGAAGCCGTTATTCCCCACATCATGGTGTTCACATCATATCCCCTCTTGGCCGTGCGCCCCAACGTCAGGACCGTGGACACCGGTTGGAATGGTGAGAACCTTGTGGCGATGCAGGGCACGCCAGATCTGTGGGACATGTTTCAAGGTGTTGACTTCTTTGTTTTCATTATTGGTTATGATTCAGAAGATCATCAACTTATGCATGGTGAATTGTTGACAGAGGTTCAATCGTTTTGTGAAGCATCAGGATCACGATGGATGAACGTGGATGCATTGGACACCACAAGATGGGACCAGTATGCCGAGGTTGAAGCCCCAATCATCTGTTCCCAGTCCATTGGCATGACCACCAACGATGATGAAGTCATGGTGAGAATGGCTGTTTGGTGTGATCAAGCCAGCACGTCCCACGATGAAGATGACCCTGGAATGCCTCATGAAGAAGTGTTCACCGCGTCATTCCAAGAGCTGATTTTGGGATTAGGAGATGAATTCCATGTTGATTCCATGACGCGTGCTGCCTTCCCAGCTGCGCTGCAAGAAGAGCAGGCTGATAGGTTTCAGGTGGATCCCGATGAACCACCAGGAGCCGAGTTGAACCGTGAGGCAATGGCTGAGGAGTTGCTAGCGGATGAGCAGCTTCTGGACACAGTTGAAGTGCCAGGATTGCCCCAGAGGGAGGCAGAGCGTAGAGCTGCGTGGAAGAAACTCCCCCAAAGGGTTAGGATTGCCATCCGTCGTTTGCGTCGACAGTTTGGCCAGTGCCCCGGGAATGTTTTGGTGAACTTGTTGAGAGCTGCTAGGGTAGAAAAGAAATATGTGAATGCGGTTCGACTTGACCGTTGCACCGTTTGTGAAGACACAGCCCCCAAACCGAAATCACACAAAACCTCACTGCCTTATGAGTACCGGTTTGGAGCATGCCTGGGAATCGATCTCCTGGAGATCAAGGACAGCACAGGTGCTGTTTACACATGTTTAAACATGGTCGACATGGGAATCACGTTCCAGCAATTGCATGTGAGCCACCTCCATTTCCTGCAGCTTGTGGTGGGGCTTTGGGTGTGGCTGCAGGTGCCCCAGGTGTGCCTGCCCATGGTGCCTGTGCAGGCACCTGCTGGCCCATTTGCAGCAGGACAGCTGTGTTCATCTTCTCCACCAGGGCCTCATAGAAGGTCATCTCATCCATTCCTGCCAAGGGTCAAGATTGAGCTATCCAGCCCAACAAGATTTTGAGCTATCCAGCCCAACATGGTTTTGAGCTATCCTGCCCAACATGATTTTGAGCTATCCAGCCCAACATGGTTTTGAGCTGTCCAGCCCACATAGTTTTTGGTTATTGGGCTATCCAGCCCAACATGGTTTTGGACTATCCAGCCCAATTGGTTTTCAGTTTTTTGGGCTATCCAGCCCACATGCATGGGTTTCAAAAGAACTATATATATATTTATTTATTTATTTATATTGATATTTATTTACTTATTTGTGTATGTATGCATATTTATATAAATATAGTATATCATATAAATATATGTCTGTGTATTTATATATATATACATATATATATATATACATATATATATGTATGTATATATATATATGTATATGTATGCAGTCCTGGGGCAACTTTCTCCTTCACCTTCTCCAGAAACACTCTGTTGCTCTCCCAGTCACCTTTCTGCCCCACTTCTGGCCAGGTTTGTGAGCAGTAGAGGGACAAGTGGTTCAACCACAGCGACACAGAGATGTCTGGGTTGTAGTATTGCTGCAGCAGCCTCAGGTTGTCTCTCCAGACCCTGGCTGCACCCCCCCCTCCTTCTCCTGAGGGCACACCTTTCCCACTCCAAGACTCCACATAGCCCTTGCCTTTGCCCTTGTCAGCCTGGTTGCCACCCTGCTGGTTCTGGTTGTAGCTCATGGCTGCTAGCTACACAGTCGCTTTTTTCTTGGGCCACAGGCTGGTGCAACATGAAATCAAACCAGTTCCATGCCACTAAGCCACTGCACAGCCAGAAGCCAGCTGCAAAACAAAGTTTCCAAATACATGGGCATGAATAAAAACTGTTGTTTCTTGTTTGGTATGTTGTAGGCTATCCAGCCCAAATTATTTTCCAGACAAAAATCAAAATGTGTGCTACCCAAGCTATTGTTTTGAGGCACCCAGCCCAACATGGTTTTGAGCTATCCAGCCCAACATGGTTTTGAGCTATCCAGCCCAACATGGTTTTGAGCTATCCAGCCCAACATGGTTTTGGGCTATCCAGCCCAACATGGTTTTTAGATTTTGGGCTTTCCAGCCCAATATGGTTTTAGGCCATCCAGCCCACAAAGTTTTTAGCTGTTGTGTTAATGTGTTTTCCAGCCCAGCATGGTTTGGGGCTATCCAGCCCACATAGTTTGCAGCTTTTGGGCTATCCAGCCTAACATGGTTTTGGGCTTTCCAGCCCATATGATTTTGAGCTAGCCAGCCCAGCATCTATTTGGGCTGGAGAGCTCTACATACTGAGCAAGCTCAGCTTTTTTTTACAGCCATGGTTTTGGTCGCCTCTGGGTCTACTCCTGCCCCAGCTTCAACTTCTTCCATGCCCTGGCAGCACCCAAGCTTTCACCACTCTGCAGCTTCTGCATGATGCTCTTGGCCAGCCTGTAGCTCTCTTCAACACCTTTCTTGCTCACAACCTGCAGCAGTTGCCTCCCCTGTGACAATCTTACTGCACAGGCCCCAGTGCTCTTGTACTCCATCAAATGCATCTTTTTCCCTTTCACAACCAGGTCATTTGCCAGAGGCTTCTGCTTCATGCCCTCTTTCTGGTTTTTGCCCTTGCCTTTGCCATTCTCCTGCTTGGAAGGCTTTGGCCCCTTTGCCTCCAAAGCTGCAGCATGCCTTTTCAGGCTGGCTGCTGGTCTTTTGATTGCTTCTCTGATCTGGGCCTTCTTCACAGGAATTGGGGAAGTCATCTTTGCTTCTGCCAAGCAGCTAGTACTTCCAGCAGCAGATGTGGCTGGTGACTGGGGCACAGGGATTGCCAGCAAATCCTCTGTCTTCACTGAGTTTGCAGGTGAAGCAGGGGGTGGAGCAGGCTGCTTCTTCTTCTTGGGGGAGCTCCCCACCAGTAAGGCCCTGATCTGCTCCAGTCTTGCCTCTTGCTGTGCTGTAGCTTTGCTGCATGCTTCCTGGTATCTCTTTGGGTCTTTCAACCGCCTTGCATGGTTCAGGAGCACCAAGAGGCTGCTGGCCAAATCACCATTGAGGGTTGCCTGCTGGCTCTGTGTGAATTTTGCCTTCACATCAGGAAACTGCCTCACTGTCTCTGTGATTGCTCCTTTCAGATCTGAATACTTCATTGCCAGCTCAGTGCTGACATTGGCCAAGCCCTGCAGCAGCTCCAGCTGATCAGAGAGATCTGGAGCTGAGACTGCATGCTGTGCAAGCACAGTCTTGTAGTACTTCCCCAGGTTGAAGGCAGTAGTGACACCTTGGCTCTTCACATAGGTGACAAGGGTGTCTTGGAGCTGCTCTTGGTCCACTTCAGGAACTTTGTTCCTTCTTGCCCCCCCTTTCTTCATGGCTGATCAAGAAATGCCTGCAGATCAATCCCATCAAACAATGCAAGGCTATCCAGCCCACATGCAAAATGGAGGGCTATCCAGCCCATGACAAAGGAGAGCTATCCAGCCCAACAAAGGGGAAAACCAGTTCAGCAAGAAATGCTATCCACCCCATACTTGCAGCTCAAAAATCAATAGCAAAATCAATCGCATTTTCAATAGAAAGTGAGTTTTTTTCAATCGTGTTTTCAACTGATAAGATTTTAATTTCTATTGATTTTTTGTTTGAAAAAGCCATTTTCAATCGCCACTTGATTTTGTTCAAAAATCAATAGATCTATTGATTTTTTTCAATCGAGGATGCTTTGGGAGTTCGTAAATCTGCAAGCTCTTCATCGTTCTGCAGTGTGTCGTGCAACTCGTGTACCTGCTCAATGCATCTGCATAGGTATGTGTACACATTGATCTTGTGGAAGCCAGTCTCGACTCCCACCAACTCTTCACGCAGCTCTTCCTCAGGTTCTGGCTCTGGAAGGTCGTTGGGTGCAGGATACATCCAACAAACAAAGCTGAGGGACGCCACTGTCAGAAGCACAAGGCTCCATTGAATGCTCTGCGCATAGATCTCCACTGTTGGCATTGGGCTCAAACTATCATCCAGGCTCAAGGCGTCAGCGGACATCATCATCATGGCAAAAGCCAAACATCGAAGAAAAGCTTTCGACTTCTGAACACCTGCATGAGTTGCAGGCTCTCCCAGATTCTGTCGAATGGCTCCAAGGGTAGCCTTCATGTCTTCACTTTGCTGTTCTCTGCGAGCTTCCGTGGTTCCAACCAATTCCCTGGAGTCCATGTCATAGACGCCGGCCATGTTCATCAAGAACTTCATTCTATCACACGATAGCTTCTTTGTAGCTATGTCTGACACATTGTACTTGGTTGGAATGGAGGCAATTTCCAACTTCTTCTCCTTGACATGCTGCTGAATCCACAGGGCACGGCACGACAAATGCCTTACCCTTCCAACGCCACTTCTGAACATGATCTGCTTTGCTGCCACGTTGTCGAGTAGCAGCTTCAAACGAACTGGTTGGCGGAGGCAGAATTCAACGCATAGCTTCAAAAGTATTCCATCACATGTCACTGAGACTGCAGCGTGCAGTTCTGATTCTGCTGAACTCAAAGCAATCACTCGCTGAGATCTTGACGTTACCAGCAGTAGACATCCTCGGAAGAACACCAAGCCAGCACTGACTGAGCGTCGGGATTTCTTGCATGCGCTCCAGTCGGCATCGCTGAACATCTCAAGAGTGAAGTCACCTTCATCATCTGGAGTGTGCCACAGTCCATTGCTTTTGATCCTGAGTTGCAAGGCATATGACCGGGCTCCCAACAAATACATGGTGAGGTGCTTCAGCATAGTCCAGCTTCGCTGAGTGGGCTTGGCCATCTGCTGCGCCAATGCTCTGATGCAGTAAGCACATTCCACCAGATCTGAAGAGAGATACATCAGAATGCCAATTGCTGATCGATATCTTGAGCAGTATGCTTGAGACAACTCTTCGGTGGTGTCAACTTCATTGACACTCTCATGACATGGCACCTTCTTTGGTTTGGCATTTTCTGGAACCCCAACCACTTCACACAGCTTCAACAAATGCTTGGGATTTTGATGAACCAAAATGGTATCTTCCTCAATCAAAACATGTGCGCGCTTCAAAAACTCTACACTGTCACCGGGGTTCTGAATGCTTTGCACTGACACCTTGTATCGGGTTTCTAACACTGGGACAAGCTTGTGTTCAAAGTAAGCACTTTCTAAAACGATCAACATGTCATCCACATGAAGCAAAATGAAACACTCTGCACTGCGAAGTAGGGATGGATAGCCTTGGCATGATTCGGCCTGAAGTTCCTGTTTGAGGAAGGAAGTCACTGAGTCAAACCACAACTGGCTGCCGTCTCTCTGCCCTGGCAACACACGTCCCAAAGCAAACAACTGACTACCATACTTCACCAATGTCGGCTGCTTCTGTGGAACCGTGAGGAATGCATCTGTGATGTCTGCGCTTGCCATGGTGTATCGAATGTTCGGATTCTGATCCTTCAGGTGCAAGTACAAAGCAGGAAGCAGCTTGCTAGTTACAGAAGAGCTGGCAGGCGAAAACAAATCTTCGCGCTCACTGAGCCAGTTGAACTCTCTGGCCACTTTGCGGGCTCGTCTGAGCCAGCAGCGTTTGCCGTCTATTGTCTTGTCTCTCCATGTGATCACAAACTTTGTCGACAACATCTTAGGATTGTCACTACCTACTTGCTCTGGAGGCAGCAAAACACCTAAGGATTTGAGTCTCATGACTTCAACCAATTCCGCAAGGTTGTCAATCTCTGCCAACTGTTCAGCACCTATCTCAGGTTCACGTGGAGTCCATGGAAACATGAGTCCTTTGACCTTTGGATTCAAGTAGCCCATGACTTGTTCTCCAAATGTGCACAAGCGACCAGTGTACTCCCTAGATGAAGCACGTTCATACGGCGTTTCACCTTGTGTCACATTGAAGCGATTATGCAGAAAGCTTGCGTGGACTATTGACCATTGGTATACTGGGTGGTTTGCGCTGAAGATGATCTGGTCTCCAGCGCCGCACATCTTCTCGATCTGATTCACCAGCAAATTTGCTTGGTTACGGATGGCCTGCACTGTGGCCTCGGCTGCGCCGTTGGCCGGCTTGTTACCTGGCACAATGGTCTCAGTGGTGGTTGCAATGCCCAATGAAATCAAAACTTTCTTTGCAGTTTCGAGGATGGCAAGAGTTGATGGCTCGTTGTCACACCTGAAGCAAACACTGGTGTGTCCTGCCCATGTGACTACTCTGCAAACTTCTGAAGCCAAGAACTTCAAACATCTTCCAGCCTTCTGCTCAGTGGGCACTGCGTGCATCCACTTTGTGGATCGGTCATGGATAAACAAAACTGTCTGAGAATCTGATTCATCAGGTTTTCTGCTACAGTATCCAAAATCGAAGCTCACCACTGAATGCGCACTGGTTGCATGACTCTCGACATGATGTTGGTCTTGCCTCCCTTTATGGGCTACACGCAAGTCACACCAAGCACGATATGGTATGTGGGTCATTGCATGCTCTCTCCGCTCATGCTCTGTGGGCTCTGCTGGAACACCTGGGGCGATGACTGGGCGTTGAAGCTCTGATGCAATCTTGTGCTTGATGCTGTGAGAAGTCAGCAGCTCTTGGTGCTTGACATGTTCAACAATTCTCTTGAACAACTGTGAACGATTGCCACTCTTTGAGAGTCCTAGTGAATCACACGCGGCTTTCAGCAAAACAAGTGAACTTGAAGCATTGATACGTGAACCATCAATTGTGATCTCATCTGGGCCTGCTGCAGGTGCTGGGTCATCTACGGGCTCATCAGCAGCTACCGGATGCATATCGGGATTACCACTGACAGGTTGCATGGGTGCATCAACCATTGCATCAGGTCCCGGCTGAGCTGCCTCTGGAGTCCTTTGAGTCTCACCTGAAGCTGGCACAGGGCGATGAGACGGTGTAAGCAAGTCAAGTGGCATCACTTACGAATGAAAACCTAATTGCTCTTGAGTGCACTCAACGGCATGTCCAAGTGTCATGACTGCATTGATTCCTTTGGGATTTGGGATTGTGGCATTCATGGAAACGAGGTCTGAAATGAATTGGTTGTGCTCTACCAAATGCCATTCATCACCACGTCTGACCAGCGTTGTCCTGTACCAAAGCAAACTCATCGAAGGTGCCGTGGAAACATCTACAAAAGCAGGTCTGTTTGTGATGATACCCCAACAGTCCAGTCCAAGCAACGTCCAGACATTACGTATCGAGTTAAGCTTGCTTTCCAGCTTCACTGTGCAAACATGCTGAATGGAATCATCACTGCAACCACTGTCATCAGTTAACACTCGAATGCAACCTGTGATGCAGAGTGAATTTCTCTTGAAACCCACTGGGATACGTCTTCCAGCCTTCTGCAAGGACAACCCTTCACTGTCAGTGTGCACTTCCCAGCCGTTTCTAACTAAACGACCAAGTGAAATCAACGGAGATGTGACTGAAGCAATGATGAACTCTTCACGCAATGAAACATCACCCAGTGAGGAGCGCCAACTGAGGCATAGTCCAAAGGGAGTGCAGAGCCATCGGCGCCACTATCCAGAATGATGTCAACTGCCATGTGGGTGTTCCCAAAAGTCCGAATATGGTCACAATTGTCCCATGCATACGTCCAGTCTTCATCATGATCCGTGTATGTCATGTCAAAGCACTGAACTTCACTTGCAGCAAAACACTCTGAGCCACATGGAAAACAAGTTGCAACTATCGCTGAAATTTGGCCATCGAAAATCTCCAAACCAGGAAGCTCATCTACAAACACTGAAGAACTATCTTCCCAAAGTGGTTCAAAAGCAACGTCGAACTTGCGAACTTGAAGATGTCTTAGGGCTTGCAGTTGGAGAACTTTGTGCAACATATGTAGTGTGAGGGCTTGAAGTGATGGAAGCTGAAGGCGAAGAAGGAGGTTGAGAAGAGGAATCATGCTGCTCAACTTGTCTCACAGTACCATTCTGCTTATCTCGAAGAAATTTCCGACAATCACGTTTCCAGTGTCCTGCTTTCTTGCAGTACAGGCAAACATTGCTTTCAGCGTCTGGTTGCTTGCCCTTGCCCTTGTCAGCCTTCGATTTGCCTTTGTCGAACTTACCTTTAGTTCCTTGCTTACCTTTACCTTTGTCCGATTTGGACTTTCCGCCTGGCTTGCCTTTGCCCTTGTACTGAACCATATCTACTTCCATAGGTTGAGGACCATTGTTCGGCTGAGTTCCTGCGATTCCAAATTCAGTATGAATCCGCTGTGAAGACCAACTGTTGGTGACCGACTCGAAACCCAAAACTTTGGTACGTACTGTGCTATATGTACTGGTATCCTCGAGGTTGAGTTGAACATGTTGACGAATATGAGCAGGGAGGCAACGGATCAAAACAGAAAGTGCAACTTCTTCCGGAACATGGTGGCCACAAGCTTTGTGATATTCTGACATCAGCCTATCCAACCCTTGAACATGATCATACAATGACTTCTCCTTGTTGAAAGCTGGTAATCCCATGATCGCTGCCAAAATCGCCATGGAACGAGGCGTTGTGTTGGGCGTATATAGCTTCACAAGCTGCCGATAGACCTCAAGGCCGTTGCGTTTCTGCACGGACCGAAGGACCTTCAATGCTCTGCTCCTCAAAAGTCCCACGAAAATGCTGTGCAGTTCGCGAGCTCTCGCTTGAGCATCATCCGGCAGTAAATCAATGTCTACCTCTGCATCCGGGTCCTTTTCTACATCCTGCATGTCTTTCTCGAAGTTCTCATCGGCTGCGCACAGCCATGCTTTCAAGTTCAGGAGGAAATCTGGCCACGCTGCCTGCTCGGCATCTACACCGTTTGCTACGAACGGATCCGGCATTCGGACCATCTTTCCAGCATTGGAGAACTTGCTAGTGCCACTTGCAGCTTGCGTCAGCGACGTCGGCTGCGAGGTCGCCTGCGTCACTTGCGCTGCTGCTTGCTGCGCTGCAAATTGTTCTTGGGCTTGACGCAATGCTGTTGAAGATTGCGCCACATTGTTTGCTGCCGCGATCAAGGCCGCAGCTAGCTGCTGCGCTTCTGTCTGCGGATCTGTGGCCATCTCACGGACCTCTAAGGCCCGACCAGTGAAACCGCGATGCCTTCCAAAGGCTTTTGCAGAAGCCAGTCACCTGTGGATCTCTAAGATCTCAACTGCAGCAGTCACAGCACCGAAGCTTATTGCTCTGCCCGGAGCGAGAGGATCTAAGCCAACACGGATGCCCTTCGGGTCCGTGTTGGACCGTCAGGGCTCCGCTACCATGCGAACTTTTCTTGACCACAAAACGCCTCGGTACGAGTACTGAGTTCAAGTTCCATTCTACACTTGATCATAGCCTTTAAGGCCATGAAAGTAAACTCTGTGGTTTCCTCAAGAAACTGTTAGCTTCACTCTCTCCAAATGAAACGTGTGTCACGTGGAAAAAGTGTGTGCGGCTATATATATATATAGCTAAGCTATGGTGCTGACTATACAGGTACATATAGCTGTATGCACAGGTGCAAAAGGTTAAGCACAAAGGAAAGGGCAAAGGAAAAGGAAAAGGGAAGCTGGTCAAGAGCAATTTGACTCTCGAGCAGCATCGAGCGAAGCTGAGTGAGATCAAGGCTCGCAGTCCTTGCATGCGGCGCGGCGCCACAGGACACTGGGCAGGAGATGCTGCTTGCAAGTTCCCTTCGGCTGGAAGCAAGCCGCAGGCATCCCAACCTAGGGCTGCGATGATGGCCTACATGTCTGACTCGTCATCCGATGATGGTGACTGTGTGATCCTGACCCATGGACACAGCAGTACACCGACGGCCATGATGGGTTATTCGGTTGCAAGAGGTAGACCCAAGGGCGCCCCAAAACCAACCGCCAAGCCATCAGTTCCAGTGCCGTTGCTCGACCCTATCAGGGACCAGTTGCCATGGAGCCGTTGCCCAAGCCTAAGTCCAAGAGTGCAGCCAAGAAAACACCCCCAAATCCCCCGATTGAGAAGTGTACCAATTGCAGAGATTTCACATTCAAGGGGAGTATTGCATACACGGTGAAGAAGACATGTAGAGATTGTGGACATGTGACGGTGACCCGTAGGGAAGAAAGCTATCAGTTTGCGTTTGAGAATTGTCCCACACGGATGTTGATCACCGTGGAAGTTCCAAGATATTTTTTCGCGCGTTTTGCAAACAGTGTGGAAACTTCATCAATGAGATGCCAATTGCCGAACATCAGCATAGAGTTCAGGTGGCCGAAAGAGTTGAGAACACAGACCCCCAAACATTGCAAGTGGTTACCAATCTGACTGGGGATGGTGCCGGTGATCGCATGTCAAGTGCTGAAATCCAAGCCGTGTTGGCCGTATTCACTCAGAGCTTGCTTGACTCAGGCCCGAAGTCACCAGCAAACCTTCACAAAGAGCTGGATGACGCGATCATCGAGGTGATGGCGGTGCAGGACCCGGAAGCCTACCCACCAGATTCCGATGACCCAGAAGATTGGGCACAACTGGATGAGGGGGCTGCGTTGACGTTGGCGGAGTTGACGGGACCCAGAGGTTTCACTGGCTGTGCGGGCAAACCCCGACACAGGTGATGTAGAATTGACCCTTCCAGTGCTTGACATCATGAGCATGAGTAACCTCGATGTATACTCAGCACTTGACGAGGGGTGTAATTCTACTTGCCACAGTCAACAATGGGCTGAGATGTGTAACAACAAACTCGCAAAATATGGTGTAACCTTCAAGTGGGTCAACCATGATGTCACGTCGTTTGTGGGCATTGGTGCCAAGACTGGCACGTGTGGCAGCAGAAGCATGCCGATCGGCCTTGAAGCCTTGGACGGCTCAGTGATCAAGGGGAAGTTAGAGTCATACGAAATCCAAGGCAACACATCAACCCCACTCTTGTTATCACTGTATGCCCAAGTGACATTAGGAATGATCAAGGACCTCTCAGCTGGCAAGGTGTTTGTGACAGTGAACAACGTTCAGCGTGAACTACCATTGGCAAAATGTAGTAAGACAGGACTGTTGCCAGTGAACCTCACTTCGGGCATCCGCACTGAATGTAACAAACTCCCCAAACATGAATCCCCAGCACAGGCACTTAAGTTTCTTAGGCCTTTCCGCCCAGCGGCGTGTGTTGCAAACATGGACCGTGGCCATGTGGTGTTCCAATTCAACGGAGACGTTGGGACAACCACGAATCTTGAAGGACAACACAATTGCGTGTCGATTGTGACCGGTGGCGAGCTGACGAGATTGAGCCCACGGCAGGCAGACGGCAAGGTGATCCTGCCGATTGACGTTCGTGAGACCCACGATCCGGATGGTGGAACTCACAGGTCGCACATTGGAAGGAACCACCATATCATTGGGACTGGTGAGTTCGAATTCTCCGTTGATGATTCGACTTCTTGGAGAAGCCATGGACCATGTGCACCAGTATGGAACCGAGGCGGCAATTCTCTTCACCTGCCGAAGCAATAGGCACCGTTCAGTTGCTGTTGGAACGGTTTTTGCTGTTCTGTGCCATTTGGCAGGGCACGGGTTTCATGTGACCCATGCCGAGGCGCACCACGCTTGGGGCTCTATGAGGTGCGGTGGTCAATGCAGGGTCTCGAGCCGGTGTGGAGCGCATCATCGGCCTTTGCTGGGAAGTGTTCAAGGCCCTGGGAATCCCCGAGGACAAGATGTATGAGCCTTGGGAGAATGCGGGGCCGATTATCCGTGGATCTCTGGCGACGGCGAGGATTCGTGGGGCGTACGTGAGAGATCGCTCCGACAGTGGAGGCGGTGCAAGCGTGACGCCTGGAGGTCGAGTTGGAGCGTCAACTCACGACTATGACCAGTTGGCCAGACTGTCACAGGCGATGCACTCCGTGCAAGAAGAGATGCAGAGAGAGCCCACGGGAGAAGACATCACGAGGAGATTCGAGATCACGACATCGTGGGCGAGGACGTGATTCAAGGAGACGGAGTGACTCACGAGCTCGTGGTCGACGAGGTGATTCCCGGAGACGCTCGAGGTCAAGGCCAAGGGAACCAAGAGCACCAGAACGACCTCCCCGACGACCGGCGGCGCCAGAGGACCCACGTCCGAGAGCTGCAGCTGTTCCGATGATGCCGGCCGTGGACAACGTATAGGCCAATACGTCGGAGACAGAGCCGTGGGGGAGGTGTCGCGTGACCAATGGGGGATCACGAGCGGGTTGCGCCCGTGGAACCCCGATGATCCCTATGGGGTCCGATCGCCAGGCAAGCGAGATATCGGTGGACGCATTGAACGCCATGATCGTGAAGTCAGGAGCCCACGATCGCATGATGTGGGAAGGCCCAGGCGATCGCAATCAGAACGAGGTCAACGTGAGATTTCAGACAAGGTCAGAGGATGTACGACGACGATGACAAAAAGGCCCTACTGGATGAGAGCGTGGCGACGAAGTGCCTGGTCGTATCAAAATGATACCTGGAGCATGATTGAACGCGAAAGCGTTGACAGTCGTGGCGTGAGGGTTGCTGGCGGCCATGTAAAGGTCGTGATCATGTACCAGCCACCTTGTGCGGACTACAAGTTGCGCTCGCTGCCAGCACCCCCCAAACCACCAAGACCACCAAGACTTTTGGGAAAACCTCCAGTGAGATGAGTGTGACACCTCGGGTCAAGGACGAACCCTGTGACACCCCACACCAGCATGAGCATGTGTGCAACGTGGCCATCCTTCGAACAGGTTACGTTGGTGATTCATCAAGTTCTGACTCCACTCAAGATGGTTCACGTGGTTTGATCTTGCATGTTGATGATGATGGTTTAGTTGAGACTCCGAGAGTACCCAGAAGCCGTTATTCCCCACATCATGGTGTTCACATCATATCCCCTCTTGGCCGTGCGCCCCAACGTCAGGACCGTGGACACCGGTTGGAATGGTGAGAACCTTGTGGCGATGCAGGGCACGCCAGATCTGTGGGACATGTTTCAAGGTGTTGACTTCTTTGTTTTCATTATTGGTTATGATTCAGAAGATCATCAACTTATGCATGGTGAATTGTTGACAGAGGTTCAATCGTTTTGTGAAGCATCAGGATCACGATGGATGAACGTGGATGCATTGGACACCACAAGATGGGACCAGTATGCCGAGGTTGAAGCCCCAATCATCTGTTCCCAGTCCATTGGCATGACCACCAACGATGATGAAGTCATGGTGAGAATGGCTGTTTGGTGTGATCAAGCCAGCACGTCCCACGATGAAGATGACCCTGGAATGCCTCATGAAGAAGTGTTCACCGCGTCATTCCAAGAGCTGATTTTGGGATTAGGAGATGAATTCCATGTTGATTCCATGACGCGTGCTGCCTTCCCAGCTGCGCTGCAAGAAGAGCAGGCTGATAGGTTTCAGGTGGATCCCGATGAACCACCAGGAGCCGAGTTGAACCGTGAGGCAATGGCTGAGGAGTTGCTAGCCGATGAGCAGCTTCTGGACACAGTTGAAGTGCCAGGATTGCCCCAGAGGGAGGCAGAGCGTAGAGCTGCGTGGAAGAAACTCCCCCAAAGGGTTAGGATTGCCATCCGTCGTTTGCGTCGACAGTTTGGCCAGTGCCCCGGGAATGTTTTGGTGAACTTGTTGAGAGCTGCTAGGGTAGAAAAGAAATATGTGAATGCGGTTCGACTTGACCGTCACCGTTTGTGAAGACACAGCCCCCAAACCGAAATCACACAAAACCTCACTGCCTTATGAGTACCGGTTTGGAGCATGCCTGGGAATCGATCTCCTGGAGATCAAGGACAGCACAGGTGCTGTTTACACATGTTTAAACATGGTCGACATGGGAATCACGTTCCAGCAATTGCATGTGATCCGGAAGGGACATAATGCGACAAGTACCCAAGTGATCAAGACACTGAGCGACCGTTGGTTTTCCTGGGCGGGATTTCCAAAGCAGATCATCTGTGATAGAGGTTTGCATTTTAGAGGTGAATTGCCGATCTTTTGTGGAAGACATGGAATCCAGATGAGAAATGCTCCGTTGGAAACGCCGGAAGCAGTGGGACGCGTCGAAAGACACGGGGGGATAACAAAAGCGATGATGAAGAAGATGCGCGCGGAAATCCAACCATATACCATTGAACAGATGCAACACTGCGTAAATGAAATCTGCATGATCAAGAATTCCACGGCACGCGTTGGAGGGTTCAGCCCAAGTCAATGGGTACTAGGCCAGAACCCGAGAGGGATGCCTAGCTTTATGTCAGAGGAATCGTTCGCTGACTTGGGAGCCGTGGGGGACTCTGCAGATCCCGGGAGCATGAAGCAAGAGCTGCTGCGAAGAGAGCCTACGTGTATCTTGACGCAAACAAAAGAGTCGCTCGAGCAATGTTGAAGAACGCCGCTCCAATCAAAATGGCGTATCACAAGCGAACCCCCACAAGTGATCAGGCATCACTGCAGGGTCACATACTTGTGCTCCAAGAGAGGCAGCAGCTTCAGAAACCAAGTTTCGAGATGGGCCATCCGAAAAGTCGGAGCAACAGGAAATCCTCTCATACCGGATGGTGCTCGGGGCCTCCAATTCAATCTGTTGGCTCAGGCAACACATGGCACGAAGACTGCAAGATTTGGAGGATCCTTGAAGAATCTCACCATTGCCAATCCAGGCCATACCAACGCGATTCAGTGACTGAAGGTGGAATCTGAAGCGCGCTGCAATATAGGCCTACATCTCCATTTGGCAGCTCAATTGGTCACCAACCTCATCCAGCCATATGCTGAAGGCACCTTCACTGCAAATACGTATTTACAAGTGGAAACCGCACTGTCTTACAAACATTGCTGAGGAACAATCTACTCTCCAAAAACTGAGAAATGACTTTCCAAAAATAATCACTTGTTTAAAAACGATTTTTCACGAAACAACCGATCGACATGTGGAACTGAAAAGTGTTCAAGGTGGACTATTAAACTACAAAGAATATACCACATACAGGTAGGTATATTATAAAACCGAGGCTAAGGCTTTTATGTCTTTATATCCTATATCCGCGTTTTAATTTATATTGATTTCACTTTTTCAGTTGCTGTATTTGTGGATGTCAGTTTGCATCCAATCTGAAACAGCTAGCAATGGATCAAACACACCCCAAAGAACGAAGCAATAAAGCCTAAAGAAATGAAATGTAAGGGGGGATAAAAAGATCCAGAGCTAGCACTCAGGTTTTCTGAGAACGCCAAAGTCAGATATTCTGACTGAAAAAGCAACCTTGGTAATCGAAGCAAGGTTTGATTGTGGAACCAAAAAGTTCATTGAACTTACCAAGATACACTCCTATCCGAAGGAGGATGAATGACCCGAACAAGTTGGAACAGGCAGTCAACTAAAATTGGCATTCATAGGTCATTCGGTTTCGTCAGCGCTGGCAATCAACTTTGTTGATTGCAAATGGTGATGGCAAAATGCCACATGCGAAGGTGAAATGCGGGTCGAGGTGGACTGGGAAATTCTCTGACCAGTCTGCTGCAACGTGGTAAACGAATGCTAGATGGCAAAATGCCATGGTGATTGCAAATAGTGCGGCCAACAAGGAATGGCTTACGGAAGCCGTTGGCTGCTACGATGGTCAAAACGAGGCAAAAGCCACTGAGTGGAGATGCGAATCCGAAATTAAAGGTGGATCACTCCTTATATTGTAGCAAACACCAAATTGAGAGATAAACAAGGAGTGAGAAATGACGACACACCAGTAGCACAGGAGCGATCCATTGTGGTGCAAGCGCACGTGCATAATGGTAGTTGTCACCAACAATGAAAGCAACAATTAATGAGAAATTATGGTGAGGGTGGGTGGGAAAATTTCTTCCAAAACAAGCAATAGTCCACCTTGAGCCAAAATGTTAGTTGGAGTATTAATTAGATCCACCAACAAACATCACTGAACAAAGTACAGTATAAGTTCAAGGTGGACTATTAAACTACAAAGAATATACCACATACAGGTAGGTATATTATAAAACCGAGGCTAAGGCTTTTATATCCTTATATCCTATATCCGCGTTTTAATTTATATTGATTTCACTTTTTCAGTTGCTGTATTTGTGGATGTCAGTTTGCATCCAATCTGAAACAGCTAGCAATGGATCAAACACACCCAAATAAAACTACTGCTAGCTGGTTAAGATCGCCAAGGAATTCCCCAAACTAAAAGTGAGGTTAACCAGCAACTGAAGTGGAAATCAACTCGGAAAGGACCATGGGATCCAAACATCGGGAGGAACTAATCGCGGGTGAGACTGACCCATCCCAACGGCTCAACTTATCGGCAACATCATTGTCGTGGCCGGCAATGTGGGAAGTGGATACTTCTACACTGGATTTTGAAATCAAAAGGCTCAGTTTCTCAAGGAACAATGCTAACGGCATCGAAGTGGAAAATAAGCGATTCGACGAGCTTTCTGCAGCTGTATTGTCTGAAAGAGTTGAGATTCGAATGGGGATACCAAAGCCAGGGTGCATGCGAATAACCATGAAAACCAAAGCCATTTGAGCTAAGGTCTCCAAAGATGAAATATCTTTTTGAAGGTCATCATGCAAAGGAATCTCAAGGGCTTCAAAATCAGCTTTATGCAGGCGAAGGCTGAACCAGTGAGTGGAACCGGCAGGTGAATAAATGATACCCCCAATGCCGCATTCTGAGCCATGAGCAAACGCATCTGCCACACACAGACCTGACCAGAAAGGTTTAGGCCACATGGAGCGAAACGGGCAAAGGTTGGTAATCCATTTATCGAAAAGGCGAATTGTCTTGGTGGATTCAACTGACAGCTTACGCTTGGAACTTGCGGGATCCCTGATGCGTAGCCAAATCCTCTTGTCGCCAATTCGACAATGTGCCAAGTCAGCTTTGCTGGAAACTTCCTGGTGGCGAACTGAAATCAAGCGGCTGTGCAAGGGGATAGCAGTGTGAGGTGGTCGACTCTCAAAGATCAGATCTGGAGAAAGGCTCGAGATAACTTGATTCCATGATCCTGGATCCACACTGTAGTGGGATGCCGGAATAGAATACAAATCTCTGTATACCCAATGCAACCAGGTACGAAGATGTGGGTACAGTTGAGTCACCCACATTGCTAAACCAAGGAACTTTTCCAACGTCTTGCGTGATTGCTGAGATGATTGCAAAAGTTTTTGAACCAGTTGATGAAGTTTTTCTTGTTTGTCAGCTGGAATGTAAACAATGCCTGTGCGAACATCGAAAAGCCACCCTATCCATCGAATGCATGGACCGATCTCGCATTTTTTCCAGGATATAGGGACATGGCAAAGGATGTTCAATGCGCAAATCATGCATGCGGACACTGGAAGCATTTTTGCACACTGAAACATAAAGAAGTCGTCGACGTAAAGAAAACTGGCATGGGACAACCATGAAATGCGACGCCATAATCGAAGAAGTGCACCTGCCAGGCGGGACCAATAATGAGCAGAGAACACAGCCCCGAATGGGCAAACACGATAGAAAAACAGCTTACCACGAAACTGAAATCCTAGAAAGCCTCGGTCTTCTGCTGCCACAGCAATGCGTTTATGGGCTGATTTGATGTCAATCGAAAAGCAATCCAAAGGTTCCTGGCTATTACGCAATGGGTAACACCTGATGACATCAGCGGCGGTGGGCAAAGTCGAGGGTTCGGGCATGCAACATTGGGCATTCACGCCACATATGGAGGAGTCCATGACTAAACGTGGTGGGCGACTATCGCTCAATGCAAGGCCGAGTTTTCCAATGGCAATCCCTTTGGGATATTTGGATTGTGAGCTTCAGCAAAACCCCCATTAACGACATCTACCCAACCCTCTGCAACTTCTTTGTCAATGAGCTCTTGAACTGTAGCTGGATCGGATTCAGCACTCTGCCAGTTGCATAAGTGCACTGTCAAGGGAGTCTCAGTTGATTCTTCTTTAGAAGTTTTCAGGGGGAAGCAATTGGATGGTTGGATAGAAACGTCACGCCCGATCGGGACACCTGATTTCAGATAGCCAAAAATGGATTTATCGGGGTCATCCATTATGTTGCAAAGGGCCTTCAAAATGTGTAGACACATCGGTTGGTCCGCCGAAATGTCCCAACAAGGTGACACGCCTTGCGCAAAAAGGAATTCATCCAAGTAGGCCTTCAAAGGAAGCAGGTCCTGATCTGATAAGGGAGGGCCATCATACCCCTGAGAAATGCGAGCAAAAACTTTTTTGTGCAGGTTATGCGAAATGATATGGTTCATCCAATTCCGACGCAGAACGGAAAAGGAGTCATCTGCTGTGTGTTCCATACTCCAATCAGCTTGGGACGGGAAGCCACCACCATCTTGTCTGGCAAATGGAGGTGACTGAACACCTTTCACTGGCAGCAATGATTGGACCTGAGATAATTGCAAGTCAAGGCTGGTGCTAGAAATGTCCGATGCAATCAGCGATAGAAAAACAAAGTGATTCAGGATATGCTGCTGTTTGTCGGCTAAGAAAGTTGCCGTGTTCATCCAATTTGACAGCAAATGATGGATGAGTGCCAATGGGGTGGTCACATTTTGAGGCCAATTGTGCAAAGTCGGATAGGGATGACGCGAAGAGCCAAGACTTGGCCCAATCTTTACCATGGTGACATGCAGCCACCGCAACACATGCGCAAGAACATTCTTTTATGTAGTTTCTTACACACCGTTCCTCCCAAGACATTGCACTCAATGGCTGCTCTAAATGGCCGTGACCACCTGCTGAACATGTGACCTGAATCAATTGGACACTACGGAACAAAAGCATATAGGATTCTTGAACACGTAAAGTCTGTTCACAATTCAGGCCAGGGAGACCACCTAGGTGTGTTGGAGTTCTCAATGCGGGTGGTCCTCCAGGACGAAGCTTTAACCGGCTGTAATCCCGGCATGGCGGGGATGCGGCACAGTATGAAACCTTCCCCGAAGCCGTCAGCTTCAGCACAAGTTCAAAAATGGAAGCATCCAGTAGGTCATGAGACCGGTCAAGCAACAAATCTATGGATAAAACATCGCAACCTTTAGCCAGTAATGCTTGGGATAAAGGGCGGGTCAAACCACAGCAAATGTCCAAGAAAATGTGGCAATTCGACATACCTGAAGAAATTTCTGAAGCAAGTGTCTGTGATGCATTTGAGGATGGCACTGAAATTGGAACCTGAATGGACTGGGTGTCTGTCACTGCGGCACTCACAACAGGTGGGTCTTGAGAATCTAGGCTGATAAATGTTGATTGAAAGTCCAAACTGGGATCTTCCTCAACATTGGATTGGCGAATAGGAATCGTGGCTGAAAGTGAATTCAAATTGGGTGGCAATTCCTCAGGAATATCGCATGCATCATCTCCCCTTTCTGGGGGAAACCAATCTAATTATTAATTCTGGATCCGCACCATCTTGTGACGCTTGTCAGAGTGATGTCTGCTGGTGGTCCAACGCGCCATGGGCTTTCAAGTACGGTTCACCATTGGGCATAGGAAATCCGCAACCGTGGTGGAATTTACAATCTGACAGGTTGCACTTACCTGTTTGGAAGCGCATGCACAGCTGTTTGCGGACTCCATTGATAAGTGCTTCACTGATCCAACGTGTCTTTCCTTTGCCTTTCTGTTTACCTTTGGCGCCACCTTTGTCGTAGGGCGCATTGCGAGGGCCTCGACCCGAACTCTTGCCTTGATTGCCTGGATTATTCTGCGACATATTTTGTTTGGGTAGGCGAGGACGTGCCTGCAACAAAGTATGAATCTCAGCTCTCACATTGGTGATTTCATACAAGCTGTCGTCAACATTCCAACCTCGTTCATTGACCAGGTCAAAGACCAACTGCATGAGCACTCGATCAGCGGCCTGGGCTTCAGTGATTGTAGGATTGCGTAGACCTGTTTCAGGGTCAAGGCGGGTGCTCATCAGGTTCATGAATTTGAGATAATACAGCTTCAAAGTACCAAGATGGGCAATATCGGCCATAGCCATTGCAATGCTGTAAACATCAAACATCTGGCGAACAGCCATCAATCCAAGTGATCCATTCTCAATATTCAGTTCAGGCGGTTGATCCAAAATAAGGGAGTGGAGTTGGACATGTTCAACTTTCGGAGTTCTGGCACTTTTGCTTGTGATCTCCTCAGCTTTCTGTTGAGTCAAGCGATATTTCCATGGCACCCATTTGAAGTCATTGGTTTGTTTCATACGATAAACCAAAGAAAGCAAACGCAAGCTGGGAGTGTTGTCGGCAACCAGGATCTCGCTGGGATATGCTTTGCGAAATGCATTCTTAAGTTCAGCCACTGTAGAGGCGGTCAGTTTGGGGGCGAAGCTTTCAGTCCATGAGGATCTTGTAGCCGATGAACTAGGCTCTGTAGGTTGCTCCAAACGGGAGGTGCTAGATGCTGATGTGGATTGAGGCTGACATTCTTGCCAGGCCAATTTCAACGCTGAACGCTGAATAGGTGTGGTGATACCTGCCACATCCCCCAACAGGCCATCAATTTCATTTTCAAATCTTTCAAGAGAGGAAGCAGAAACCGCAAACAGCGGAACAGTCCAACCATCATCCAGAAGCTTTTCAGCAAATGTATCTTGTAAGCCCACGCGAGCAAAAATCTCCTTAAGAGAAGAAGCCGTGGGCCAGGAGGAAAGGCAAATCTAAGTGAAATGGCGAAGCATACATTATGTGATTAGGTGTCCAAGAAAAACGGCATATTGAAAAGTTTATGCCATGGTGGTTGAAGATTGGATTAGAATACGACCCATCAGTGCAAATGGGAATACAACATGTTTGAGCAGCTGAGGATCAGGCGGGACAATATCTGGCTGATGGAACCCACCGGAGCTAAATGCAACATCCATGGATAAATCATCTTGTGAGAATATAATCCAGTGAAAACGGCTAGAGCATGGGTTCAGAGATGCTAAGGGGTCCAAAAACGGTTCTCGCACATGTGAAGAAACGCCAGCAGGATCACGTCCTGAACGCCCACAACGCCACCAGGATACATCCTTTTTTACGCCAATGCTGCCAAGCTCTTCTTGCAACCCATGTGGGTACAAAAGGATCAGTGCGGGCTCGAATTCAAATCTGTGCTGAGGGTCACACTCTTGGGATTCAAATGACGACCACATGCCGTCTTGAGAGGGATGCCGTCCCAACGCAGTGTACCAGGTAAATCCCGGTCAGATTTGATCATCACATGCACCGTGTTACGGTTGTAGCCAAGAATCATCTCATCAAAATTTTGTTTATCTTCTGCAGGAGATGCTGGATTGGCATCTGAGTCCGGGCCCTTTAATGGATCAAGGGCCCTTGAGCTTTAGGCGAACAAAAGGTTGTGCTCGGCAGCCCGACCAGTTTGATAGAAACTGATTCATATTTTGCCGATGACGTTGAAGAATCTGAGTGATTTGAATACCAGGTGTTTGACAGCAAAGCGCAGGAAATTTTGCTTTATCTGATTGGTGCGATTGACTACAAGGATGGAGAGTATTCGCGAATTGGCGAATCAGAATTTCATGAAGCAATGGTCGAAGAGCAGATGAAGAAGCGCATTTGTGTTCTGGTGGAAACAAACTTCAAAATTTGATGTATGCTTTCATTATTTCACAGATGGGAATTTCAGTCACTGGCCAAGAAGATTCGATATGTGTTCCCTCCCCGGTATTCTATTCTTGGATGATTTTCACTGGAACCATGATTCTCTACATTATTTGGCGTATTTGGTTGCTTGTATATTCACAGATGGCTCGTCAAGGAGAAGTTCGCGAAGTCCAAAGGCAAAACAATGTGGCATTTGATGAAATTCATTCTCAGAGCAGTGAGTGGTATGAAACGGAAAACAATCGAACTTTTCTCTGTGTTCGAAACCCTGCGCGTGGTGAAGTTCGAAGAATCCCGATGGAACGTTTTCGTGAAGAAGGAAATCAAGTTTCGGAAGCCAATTCAAATTCTGATTCCGAGAATTCAGAAAGTTCGGGAGATGTAATGTATGTCAGCAGAGCGCTGATGGAGAGATGGCATGGTCCAATTCCTAATGCTGAGTGAGATGTAGCTAGTGTTTCACAACGCTAAATCTCAAGGCGGGGTGTGAAAATTTGCATACCCGTATATGTTACATATCTTCTTTGTATATATGAAGCCCAATATGCCATTTTCCACTGCATTTGTTCTCACATTTGAGACTCGACATTCAAGCGCCATTTGGATCAAAGGAAGCTTTAGTCACCGTTGACCGTTTACAGGGTAACAAGGAGACAGAGAGTTATACTGTACTTTGTTCAGTGATGTTTGTTGGTGGATCTAATTAATACTCCAACTAACATTTTGGCTCAAGGTGGACTATTGCTTGTTTTGGAAGACATGTTTGTATTTTTGGCAACATGCTGCAGTGCATTTGGCGTTTCAATTTTTCAACTTGCTTTAGATAACTTTTGCAGTACATCATTCATCACTGGCAAACACATCATGGCAACTTTTTTTTCACTTTCTCATGCCTTCAGTAGCAGTCCATCGGCCCGGTCGTGAGCCATTGATTATTGAACGGGTGATCCACGTTCGAGCTTTGGGACCTCAGCATTTGATATTTTACTGCGTGACCTTCAGAACATTTCGGACAGATATTCGCTTGTTTTTGCACTCTTCAGACTGGCGTCCAATTTTGGCAGCGAATTCCTTATTTTTCATGGGATGTATATTTGCGACTGTTGTGGAGAATCCCCCACTTCAATTCTATGAACCTTCTTTGGGCCCTTCATCCGGTGCAGTTTCCGATTCTGAGTTGAGCGATTGATGGACTGTGATTCGGATTCAAGTTGGGAAATCTTGCACCCTTCTGCAAAATCAACACCACTGCCGTTGCCATCATGCTTTAATCAACACAGACCATCGCTGCTTCAGGTGTCTTCAGCATCCATTGGTGATCCACCTCAGCGTACACCGGCGGTCCCTCCGCGAGATGGCAGGCCTTTACCGAGTTGCTTTCAATCAGATGCAGTTGCAGTTCGACCTCATAGCTTGGAGTGTGCTTGGACTAATCAAACTGGAATTCCACTGCCTGACTTAGGGGTGTCTATTCCGGCAAGTTTGCAATTAGCTGAATCTTCAACGGAGGTATCCCATGACGGTGGTCTTCCTACCAATGTTCAAGCATCCCCCTTTAGCATAAAAACTGGGGTAAAAAGATTCCATGCATCTACGGGCCCCACATCTCACGGCAAAGATCAGCTTTCACGAGTGAAGCTCGCCTCCACCTCACCTTTGGTCTTGGCGGTTTGGTCCCAAGTTGCCCCTCAGTTGTCAAAAATCTCCAAGTTTTTGCAATCAGCAGCGAATAGCCCCTTGGAACTAGAGCACATTCACCGATTTTTGAATCGATTTGCCGCATCAACTTTGGTGAAGTATTTGACAACTTTGAAATCATTCCTGCAACTTTGCACTGATATGTGTGTGGCTTATACTTCCATTTCAGAGTTCAACCTGGCGGACATTTTGCTTAACGCTCGATTAGTGAAGGACTCCACAGGCTCTGGACCTATGCATTCGTCCACATTGGAAGCCATTCGCTGGGCCGCAACTCACTTAGAAATCCCTGCTTGGTCTGGAGCTTACTCCACAATCATTCAGAGCTTTTTGCAACAGAAACTGTGCAGTGATCGGAAAGCGGCACTACCTCAAAGTTTGTACATCTTGGTTCAATGGGAGCGTCGCATATTACAGCGAGAGGCCACGGATTAAGAAGTCATTCTGCTTGGTGGATTCCTCTTTTTATTATTCTCAGGATTACGGTTTGCAGATGCCCAACGGACTGATTTACACTGTTGGCGGTTGGATTCATATTGTTTGCGTGGATTAGCTTGGTGAGCAAAAACATGCAGCAGCACCACTCCTTTTGGAATCGCCAATGCTGGATTTTTATCCCATGGCAGCTTCTCTTGGATTCACAAGTATCTGCAAGTCCTCGACTCTCTGTATCAAGGCTGTGACTTCGTGGATTTTGTTTTCCCGTCATTCCGAGGACAATCACACTTGCCGCTGCCGCCAGAACCGATGTCGTATGGGGAAGCCCAGTACCTTCTCCGACGGTATGTTGGCCTCCCCTGGAAAACATCCCACAAAACAAACTATGAAGCATCATGGTGGTACAGCTTGCATGGTTTAAAAGCCACCCTGGTATCATGGGCCCTGCAACTTCAAATACCTGAAGAGCAACGGCGCCTTCATGCCAAACACCGTGGACAAAACCAATCCACCACCCTGTATTCCAGGGACGATGTTTCAGGCGCCCTATGCTTACAACAGACCATCATTGACCGTGTGCGTGGTGGTTGGCGACCTCACCCTTTCCTGGGACGGGGTGGTCAGGAACCTTTGGTTGAACCAGACTTTCAACTTGAGCAATTTAGCAAACAATTGGCAGCTCAGGAATGGACATTCTTTCAATTTTCTGAACCCATGGTTTCGTTGGTTGATAGCGAGCATACTGACCCAGCAGTTTCCGATTCTACGGATATTTCATCCAGTGCATCAAGCCAGCGGTAACATGGGTAATTTCACACCCTGGTTCATCACAAACTAGAAAATCGACCATAGATTCACACACATCCTACTTTACAGGTGTGAAATGGTCTAAGCCAAATTCTCTGGAAAATTTTGCACACGGGATAGATCTCACTTCTTCTTCAGCTGCTGGATGTAGCTGACTGAGTAGATGTTCTCTCTTAACACCTTCAAAATCAAGTCAGGTTTCATCTTCTTGGTAAGACAATCCGAGATCATTGTGCTTGTGTGGATCCAAGCCAAACGGTCGCCTCCATCAGGATAAACGAGGTATGTCTCTCGATCGTCCTCATCTCTCAATGACTGGCGCATGGCTCGCATGTCGATCTCAAGGCGCTTGTCCTGACATCGCGACATGTCAGAGTTCAAGTGCTTCACAAGTGACATGCAATCCGACAAGCTAAGCTGTGGGCTGCACTGTCTCACGATCTGTTCCCATACCCCTTCATCTCAACCAACAAGGCTCTGTACCTGTCACCTGCCTCCATACTGCTCTGCAAGCTGTATGCCTCTGCCTGCACGGCACACCCTCTTGATTGTGGTTGAGGAAAACGCCAGTGGGAAGACATCGAATGATGTCCTGGTCGTTTCCTTCAGTTGCTTGACTGGGCACAGGAAATGGCATCTGCCCTGTTGCGAGCGCATTCCGCCTTCATTCGCAAAAGATGCGTCCGAGATACTCAACACGCCCATCGTGTTCCAGTCCATGTGATGGTACGGGAACCGAAGTTTCACATGATCCAAACCAGCAAGGGTCATCTCAACGCACTTGTTGGCATCTCGCGCAGTCTGGACTGTCGCTCCTTTTATCTCTGACTGCAGCTTGGAAACAAGGTAAAGGATATCGGGCCTCCCCTGTCGTGCAATCCACGACAGCGAGCCCACCACTGACCTGAGTTGGCTGATCTCTCCAGGAGTCAGCAAGTCAGTGTTTGGTCGTCCTTGGTCAATTCTCACAGGTTTCACCTTGCGACTGTTGTCGTCAACATCGATTGTGATTCCTGCAGGAGTGCTATTGAATTGCTTACCGCAATACCTGAAGCTTCCAGTCTCCTGAGTTCCTACATCAAAACGTGACAACAAACGATCCATGTACTCCTTTCCTTCAGGCAAGTATGCATAAAGAAGATCGTCCACATGCGTGGTCAACACTGCCACTGTCTTCAATTCAGCATGGGTTTTCTCTTCTTTCCCTTCCTTCTGATCCTCTTTCTTCTGTCTTTCAGGGGATTCCACGGGAACATTCAAATAGTAGAAGGCCTGAAACACTCGCGACGGACTGAAGCCACAGTCACGTGCTTCGCGGTGTAGCCGTTTCCAAAATCCACGTCCCGAATCGCACAACCCGCAGACGGGTACTCTGATCAAAAGGGGGCTACCATCTTCGAGGTCAGGGAGGCCACCTCGCCACATTCTCATTACAATGACCCTGTCAAGCGCAGCGGCTTGAAAGTACGCCGACGTTATGTCGGCTGAGCGACACTCCACCTGGTGACACGCCGCAAACGCAGCTATGAGGTGGTGTGTCTCCGCATCCCACGTTGGGGCGTCGGTGCGCAACCCTGCCTGGACCTCAAAGTTGCCGCAGCTGACCTGCCTCGACTTAATGCGATCATCTCGGCACTGGGCATGGTACGATTTATCCACGTCCACCCACTTGGACGGGATCACTGCGTGTCCCTGAGCGATCAACGCCCCCCCTTCACCGGGCGGCAATGGGACAGCGGCACTGTACTTAATGTACTTGGCCCATTCCTTGCCTCTTGCTTCCAAGATCAGAGCTCTCATCTCTGGAGTCTCTCTCTCGAAGTTCAAAGTCTTTTCAGCAGCTTTCTCAGGCTCGGCTTCTTGTTCTTGAAGTCCTTCCTCGAACCTGGATGACATGAATGATACAAAGCGAGATCTTGGTCCCATCGGTGTTGGACCTTTCTCCATCACCATTCCAACGATTCCTGTGTTCGCTTGGCTCTCCCGAGTCCACTGCGCTTCGAAGTGCATCCTCAGTGGAACTGGGGGGTCATCAAGCGGATCGCGTGGGTTTGGCCACGCAGATGGTTGTCCTGAGGCTGACGCAGGCTCGATCGGAGATTCCGCTCTCGCCGAGATTTCAGCGTTGGGAGCTGCCACGACGGAGGCAGCCGGACTATCGCCACCGCTTGTGGTCGACACTCCTCCATCTGTCCTTCTTCGAACTCTTCTGATTGGATTCTCTCGTCTGGTTGGCAGTCTTCTGTCGCTAGGCTCAGCTCTTGACACTTCTTCTTCTTCTTCTTCTTCCTCTTCTACGTCTTCTTCATCATCTTCCACTTCCATGTGTTCTGGATATGGAATGTCAACGAGCTGGTCGGGGGTTTCTTCTTCGGGAATTGGTCCTAGACTTTCGTCTTCATTGGTTCGTGCATCAACAAACTTCTAAGCTTCTCCAATCACCTCAGCAGGTACAATGGGCTGTCCTTGGAGAATTGAGCGTGCAAGAGCCTCTGCATCGCTCGCTGGTCGGAGATTGTGGGCTGACACAAGTACAGGGGTGTTCTCGCACAAAACCCAAATGTCTCTTTCTCCCTCGTGGCCAATCACCCTGGATGCCACGCTCCATTTGGTGCGACCTCCTGTATTGTTGTCTTTGCGAAAACTCACAATGTCTCCAACTAGATCACAACCACCAAGGTTGTATGCCCAGCGAAGGCGTTCGCCGGACGGGGTCTCCAAAGCTTTCCCAATCAAGGCCTTAGGGACATTGGGCCCCCCGCCTTTGGACTTTTTGCCTGACTTGGCTTGGCCTTTGTTGGGGCGCCCGCCTCCTTTCAGGCTACCTTTGGTGGCTACAAGGCTTCTCGAACGCTGATGGTTCTGATGTTTCTTGGCTGCCTTAGGTGTCCGTCGTTGCAGGACGGAGACACTAAGAGGGAGCAAGTGAAAGCTGACGGAACTGTGTGCAAGGATGGTTGGCAAAAGCTCCTCGAGGGACAGCTTTCCGTTGGCATCTTTCTTAAAGACTAGTGATCTTCTCTGACATCAGCAGGAAGGCAGCGCGATCAGCTCTCAAAACCTGCTGAATGGATATGGGAGCATAGCCGGGAGGAGGCGGCTGGTGAAGGTGATCCAAAAGTTCTGAGCGGTCATTGTTCATGATTGAGTATTGGCAGGCCTTGGTGAGGTCAAAGGCCAAGGCTCTTCTTCTCAGCGCGTTGGAAATCTCTAGCCCCGTTGAGGCGGGACAACTCAGGTCAGCTGTCTTCTCTCTGACTGCTAGCATCGACTGGTCAATGATAAGCTTTTTGTTTGGCTTGGATTTCTGCAACTCTTGCCTGCGGGTTGCAAACTTTTCGGGATGCATGTACACAAGAGCGTCTTTTTCCAACATAGACATAATCAAGTCATATGAGGAATAGGCGCATTCTTCCTCCCCTCGAAGCCTCAGTCCTGAAAGGCGTGCTCTTTGTTCTTTGATTCGTGTTTCCCTCTCGGCTGGAGCGAGAGTGGTCACTGGCTTATCCAACTCAGATTTGGTGGCCTTGTTCTTGATATCGGCAACCACTAGAGTATGAGCTTCGAAAATGAGCCGTTTCACCGCGGCCAAGGTGCCTTGAGGAGGCGACGCAGTCGCTCCCAACAAGGACTTTACTTGATCGTCGGTTGGGGTTTGACCAGGAGGGCAAACTGCGAATGCTAGCTTAACCAAGGAGGTTACGTTGCCTGCAGTTATGGCTTGGATCTCAGCGGTACTGAGGTCCACTTCCAAGGCTCTGGCCTTCAGTGCTTCTTCCGACTCGAGAAAAGTGCCCATGTTGAGCGTCTACGCGAGCTGTCGGGCAGAAAAGGCTGAGCAAAGCGATGGTGATGACGGAATGCTGCAACGACAGAGGTGATTGAAAATAATTCTATTAAAGCGCTGGCTTGAGCGGCCACTTTTTTTCTTACTCGCTGGCCAGGCGCAGCTTCTTGAGTGCTGAAGCGAATTGCCCTATGTCCTTGATAGGTCTGGCGTGTTCACAACGCTTACACTTCCTGAAGGCAAGAAATTTGCACGCTTGGATCTGAGAGTAATCTGAAGACAGTTTCAGGCCGCAACTGAGAACGCTACTGGGTGATCCTACTGCACGTACATGCACGACCTTGGACCTTTTTTGCGCTGGAACATGTCAACGTCGGGCTCCCACGCTACTTCCTTGGTGACCGGGTCCAATGTGGGAGCAACATCCAAGGGTGTGCCTGAAACCATGCTGGTTGTGTCCGAATTTGCTGAGTCATTGCTTGCTTCAACTGCTGACGATGAGGGTTCTGGCAAGACGACGGCGTCTTTGGGGTCCGAAGCAGTGCTTTCGAGAAATCTGGCCTGAACCCTACGACTCTCACCTGAGTCATCAGTCGATCATATTCTCTCAGTGGAAAGGACAGTGTGTCACGCGCATAGATTTCAGAGGACTTCTTTCCGGATGAGTGGCGACCTAAAGCTAGACGCACGTCCTCTGCTAGCCCAAATTTACCGCACCAGGATAGGGTAGTGGCCTTCAAAGTGTGGATCGTGGTATGTGCGACTCTGCCAATTTTGCGAAACAACAGGCTTAACAACCAGTTGCTCGCTTCAACTGAACTGATACTTCTTTGACCCTCACCTACCAATTCTCCAGAAGCCCTGGGTGCTGGCAAGAGGGCTTCAAACCTAATGGTGTTCAAGGGACGGCTGACGGACTCCGCAATCCTTGCGAACCTAAAAGGCCCACGTGTTTGGCCCACGTGTTTGGCCAACCCCCCAAATTGGGGCTATCAAAGGCATGAAGATCCCTTGTCTAACCACAAGGCGCGCAGTTTTGTGCGACCTGGTCCTGAATTCTATGTAGCCACTTACCTTACCTTCGTTTTCACAGGAGTCAAAGACATAACCGAAAATGTTTCGGACATCATTCCAGCGGCTGCGAGAGTAGAGGCAAAACAAAAAAGCAACCTGCAGCATAACGGTCTGTGATGCTGAACTTCTCATCATCTAGGATCTCCTCTAAGGTCTTGACCTCCTCTACTGTGAGGACTCGGGCCTGCTCCTTCTCTTTTCTCTTGGAGTCAGCGATCTCCATCAGCCCCTTTGACTTTCGAGGCAGAAATGGGTTGTGTTCGACAGGGAAGTGAATGCCCACTACGTGTTCACAAAACCCGACCGCCTCGGAGAAACTATAAAAGCTTGAGGGGGCGGCGTCCGACTTGCTGAGTTGGCTGAAATATTCCTCAATGTCCAAAGCTAACAAAGGAAAAGGACATGTCGAGAAACGGTTGTCCTTGTACCACTTCAAATACCTGATGATGGATTCAGCCCTCTTGTTGACTGTTGGAGGGCTCTTGTTTCCAAAAATCATTCGCAAGGACTGAAGCTTATCAGCCTCTCTGAGCTCGTCAATGTTATAGCCAGCAGGCCAGGCTTCAGGGCCAGAAGTGAAAATCACATACCACTTTTCAAGAGCACGTGTCCAACGCATGATGTCGATCTCACTGTCAGTCATGGTCAGGTTGAAATCTACACTGTCTTGAAAAGAGCTTCTGATGGCTGGGGTGGCACGAACCTGGACTGCTGCTGGCATGACACGATCAGCTTCGCAAGTGGGCAGCTCTGGCACTGCTTCCAAAACAAGTACTGGGATAGAGCTATCATGTTCCCCAAAAATCAGATCCATTCCAGGCAATTCCCACGGGAGCACTAAGTTGGAGGTCTGGACAGGGGTTGACATTACATTATTGAGCCGTCTGCGATCTTCCTCAGTAAACGGAGGTTCGGGTTTCCTGGATGGTTCAGCACTGAGATCGACGCTGGGTGGTTCAAGAGGCTCACTCTCGGCTCTGAGTTGTTCAAAGAAGGCATCAGTGTCATGGTCCAAATCAAGTGCGAGATCCAAAGGATAGTCAATGTTGGCTGGAAGTGGAATCCCCCGATCTTCTGAATCGTCATCTTTCACGAGGTCTGGATACATATCATGGACCGAAGCCATAAGGTCTGTTGACCCCGATCTCTGCGGATAGAGTACCTGGCACGGGGCGGGCACGACAAGAAAGATTAACACATGATGAAAACAAACATGGGCACTTGCCCAACGTGTTGGGCTCAGACACTTGTCCGAGGATCCTGGCAAATATTCGTCTCCAATGGAGGGGTGGTTATCCATAAACTACCGGATTGAGACGGCCACTTGACCGTCATTATTTGTCAGTAACAAGCATTATTTTGACAGCACAGCCTCTTGACTGTGGAGCTCGTGGGTATGTGCCTGCACTTGCAGGGAGATTCAAACAACTGAGTGCGTCATCAAGACACTCTCATGCACTTGCATGAGATATTGAGATTGGCACAAATTATCTCAGAGGCAGCGCGCCCTAAACACAGGTCACTTGACTGAAACACGTCACACGTCCACACAGCTTCCCAAAGATGAAAGATCCACTTGAACCCTGGTTAATTTCACTTTGCAAGCGATGGAAGATTCACCCGGACTTTCAGAGCCTTGGGCTCAAGTCATTCTCTGCTCGCTCACTTGAGCAAAGACACACATATGAGAAACTCAAAAGAGTGCAAACGGACATGTGTGACATCATGGGATTTCAGGCATTTAGGGCACTGTTTTCCTTTGAGAGAAAACCTCACTCTTGTCCAGCTGCGACATTACCCGGCGTAAAAGAGCTGGAGGGAAGAAACAAATCAAAAACACTCTGTGGCGCTACGCTCAGGCATCCCAGTAGCGCTGGACAGGAGGCGGCGTAGCCATCATCTCAATAGCGCCTGTGATGGGTGTTTTTGCTCGGTTGCAGGAACCAACCGCGAGGAACGAAGGTGGCATTGATCCCCATGGTTTGATCACGAGTGTAGCCTCCTGGCGACACGCTCCGACTTTGATTGGTCTGCGTGTCGACAATGATGAGCGGCGCCGACTGATCAGGAGTCGGGTCTGGCAGTGCCACTGGGGAAATTTGGTTGAGCAACTGGTTTGTCTCTCGCTGGAGGACAAGTTGCTGGCCGGCTGCATTGGCTAACTCCTTGGTTACATTGCATTGGGCCACTGTGAGCTTTTGGATGTCTCTCAGAGAAGCTGAGCTGGCCCGAATGTATTCTTTCATTGGGGTGGATTCCTTAGGATCGGAGAGCCAATCCCATTGGACTTTCTTCCGCCAGTCGCCCGTTTGAGCAGTCAGAGCCTTATAGTGGAGCTGGCGAAATAGTTCACGCCGGATGCAAGTCCGGTCAAAGTGTGGTCATTGGCTTTGCTCTCATCCAGGTATTCCACTGCTTTCCCAATTGCTCCGAAATGTGTTGCAAACCTTCGACTGCAACGGTCATAGCATGGTGACTGTCGGTGATAGCTCCCAGCAGGCTGCGAGCGGTGTGAGTTTCGGCAGCAGTGGGAGCAGCTTCCGCGGCAGGCGGAGTTGGATGGGCAGCAGCGGCAGGCGCAGCAGCCTGCTCAGCGGGCGCTTCACTCAGGTTGACCATCTCGCCACGGCTGCGGCTGCGGCTGCGACTGTTGTGGGACATGGCGGTCGAAAATAGATTGCGACCACTTGGTCACCTACTAAACGACCGAAAACCCCACAAGATGTTAGACCACATGGACATGCATGTTCTGCCACATGACTTGAATGCTATGGCTGCGGGCGAGCATGAAATGAACAGGTGAAGAGGCAAAACATGCAAATGAAAGACTTTCGTCAACTCAAAATTGGTTTTAGCAAATTCATCCTTGAAGGAGTGCTCAGCAGTGCATTTCCGTGATGAACCACATAAATACGTTCCAGCCAAGCAAATAAAATCACATCATGTTCCATGAGGCTCCTCTTCAGCCCCGCCTGAAGTTGCAGCATACACTTCTGATTCGCATGAGGAGAGAGCAATTGACTTCTGTGTGCGGCTGTAGCTTAAACTTATTTCTTAAGCCAAAACCGTGCTGTTTTTTGAAAGGGGGCTAAACAGATCCCTTTCCTCTCAACTCCTTTCAAAAGGTCAAACCTTTCTTACAAAAAACAAAAAGAAACAAACGAGGCCATCGCCACGGTAGTAACAAAAAACTATATTGAGGCTATCGCCACGGACACAAGCACAGCCAGGAAAACGTTGAGGCGGACCTTTTTCCTATGCGCAAAGGGAATCGGTGTCATTGTCTAATCCCGTGTCCTCCCCATTAGAGAGAAGACTAGACTCCCAATGACACACATACGGAATCCCATTGCACATCAAACAGAGTTGCCTTCAATGATGACAAAACATCAAGAGAAAGCCTGGAAGTCGGGACCCTGCCGAACCAAGCTTTAATGTAAACGGCCAACGGTAACTAAACGCTTCTTTTGATCCAAACGGCGCTTGAGTATCGAGTCTCCAAGAGTTCTCATGTGAAAACAAATGCAGTGGAAAATGGCATATTGGGCTTCATATATACAAAGAAGATATGTAACATATACGGGTATGCAGATTTTCACACCCCGCCTTGAGATTTAGTGTTGTGAAACACTAGCTACATCTCACTCAGTGTTGGGAATTGTACCATGCCATCTCTCCAAAAGCTCTCTGCTGACGTACATCACCTCACCTGAATTTTCTGAGGCTTCAGACTCAGTTGAACCTGAATTGTCTTCCAAAACTCCTTCAGTTCTCTCATCTTGACGCACAAGTGGAACGCGTCGAACTTCATCATTTTCAGGATTCAGAACACAAAGAAAAGTGGAATTGTTTTCTGTTTCATACCATTCATTGACACGGGAAGGAATCTCGTTGAGTGCCACATTGCCTTCAGTTTGGACTTCTCGAACTTCTCCCCGGCGAATAATCAGTGAATATGCAACTAACCAACCACGCCAAATAAAATAGAGAGTCGTCATTCCAGTGAAAATCATCCATGAATAGAATATTGGAGAAGGAACACACACTGAATCTTCATAACCAGTAACGGAAGTACCCATCTGTGAAATGATGAAAGCATACATCAAATTTTGGAATTTGTTTCCACCAGTACAGCTTTTCACACGGGAAATGCGCTTCTTCATCTGTTCTTCAACCAGTGCTTCATGAAATTCTGCCTCGCCAATTCGGGAATACTCTCCATCCTTGAATTCAACGCAACCAATCAAATAGAGCAGATACTTTCTGCGCTTTGCGGTCAAACACTTAGTGTTTAGATCGCTCAAATTCTTCACCGTACCAAGTGGCAAAATGTGGATAAGCCCTTGCTTGATTTCAGCTTGCATCCATAGCAATCTCGTGTCATAATGCTTCATCCTTCCGACTCCAGAGCGTTGGAGCCACTGACGGCCACTTGATGAATCACTTCGAATTTCCAACCTGACAGGCTTTGAAATCAGAAATTCATAGACGCTTTTCAGGAATTTTCCTTCTGCCCCGCCTGAAGTCGCAGCATAGACCTCTGATTCACACGAGGAAAGAGCTATTGTTTTCTGTGTTCTGCGTAGCTCAGACATGGAACACCGTCCACGACGATCAAAGTTGAAGTCGTTGATTTCCTCGTTCCTTTGTGACCGGCCCAGTCGCTGTCACAAAAACATTCAATAACATGTTTCCCCAGATTTTCATCATCCATTGAAATTCCAGTTTCAAGGCTACTGACAATTTTTTTGCCAGGCTCACTATATCGTAGCAAGAATCCAAAGTGTTGGGTTTGCTTTCAAATAAAGAATTAAATGACGAAGGCAAATTAAAGCAGTTTGTGTAGGGTTCTTCATCCAACTTCCAAGGCTCTTTGTTGAAAATTGGATATCCCATCGATCTTGCGCCAAGTACATCACAGTCCCAAGTCCAGATCTGAAAACAGACTGCTGGCTGAGAATCAGTTCCATCGACTCATCGACTTTTGACAGCAGGGAATGTTGAGGAACTGCCTTTCCACGCTTCCTCTCCAAATTGAAGAGTTTCACAGCACTCTCAATGTACTTCGGGTTTGCTGCCACAATGATTCCGTTTGAGACAAAAATATAGGTTTCTTCAAATATCCCATCTCTTCACCACAACCAGTTTCGTGTTCAGGAAAAGGACCCTCGACACTGAGTTTGTAGATTTCGCTTAGTTTTTCAATCAACCAAGCACCTTCTTCAACTGAACCAGCGGCAATCAACTCATCATCCACGTGAATGTTGATAACCAACTTTTTGTTTTGATGTTTCAAAATGGAAGGCATATTCAAACATTGGATAAATCCGAGTCTTTTGAGAACTAGCACAAACGAATCAAACCAATACATTGCAGCACTTCTTTGCCCTGGTAAAACCTTTCCTAATTGCCAAACTGCTTCTTCAGGCATACCAAGGAGCTGCATCATCCATTTCTTCGGCTCGACGAAGCATTCGACAGGTTGATCAACTGTTAGAAATGCATCACGGACATCAACGCTGTAAAGTTTCCATTTCCAAAGCAAATGAAAACCAGGAGTAATCGAATGGCACCATAAGAGGATGTTGGGCTGAACGTTGCACAGGTTGCGCCACCACTTAGCTTAAACTCACGTGCCGCCACGCGACATCTACGTTGCCACTCGGAATCACGGAGCCTCCAATCGGAAACATCTTTGCAATCAGTTTACATTGCACCAGGGGGAACAAGGGATTTTGAAATTTCCTTCACAACACCCATCTCCTTCTGTCTTGTGACTTCACGCTTTGCCGCATTCTCATCAAGCTGTCGCAACTCATCTTCAGAAACATTGGGGGGTTTTCCATGACTGTCATCAGGACCATCTTCCAAATCAAAATCTAATTGAACAAACGCTTCATCTTCCCACATCTCATCTCATAAAGTTCAGCATTGACATTTCCAACAAACAACGACGGAAACTTCTCCAAAAATGTACCTGAAATACACATGCTTTTCGTGAAGCTTTCTCTTCTCCCGCGCCAGTTTCCGCAGAATCGTTCTCCCTCTTTGCATCTGAACTTGAAGAAAATGGAGTAATTCGCCTTGATGATGATCCCCGCAAATCTGTTGAACTTGTTTCCAGACTTTGTTTTGAAGTTTCGATATCCGCAACTCTCCGTTTTACACTTACGCGCGTGTCATCTTGAAGAACATCAGTGAAAATTGGAGAATCCTCGCCAACAACTTCTTGAGAATTTTCGCCAACGCCATCAGTCTTTTCTTCTGATAAACCTTCCAGCACACTTGCATCCTCAGCCTCCTTTTCCTTCTGAACGCTCTCTGGGTCACTCGCAGCTTCATCTGGACCAAGATCCTTTTTGGGAATTTCAGAAATTTGAGGCACAGGAGAAAAACCCACAGTGACATTCTGTCTTCGAACACGTTCATTCCAAGGAGCAACGTTGATCTGCTGGATGTAATCGCCACGCCAAGGATTTGAGCATCGTCTCACTGATCTTGTCTTGAAGATTCCAGTTTTTCACAACTTTTCTGCTTGAAACCAAACGCCTTACGTCTTGAGATTCATCTTAGATCATAGCCATTTGGCCATGAAGTGAAAACCATGCAAAACCAAACGTGGCAGGGCTTTACAAAACACCTAGAAGCATGTAGAGCTAAACTGAGGTATGTACGTAAGGTTTACAGCTAGTCACCCCACCTTTGCAATTGCCACATTCTTTGTGGCACTTGCAACCATCTGTAAGGAAAGGCAAAAGGAGTGATTGTTGAAACTAGCCGGCTCATTGCTCTCAGGATCCTCCAAGTGATCAGGTTAACACTTGGCAGGAAAGGACCAAATGCCCAAGGGATCACGTTAACCCTTGGCGCATTAATACCCGAGTGACCAAGTTAACACTCAGCGTATTCTTCCATCTTTGTGGGCTCATTTCTCACAAGTTCAAAACAGAAAAGCTTGGGCTTGGAAATACTCAACTGCTGCACCATTTCCAACTGCGGCTGCTTGTTCAACGCGTTCGCAAATAGCTTCTTGAGCTCTATCACGAGCTTCCTGCATTTCCTCTGGGGACCTTTCAATGTCAGCCGCTGCACTGGATCCTTCAGGACGTCTTTGCTCAGAAATAAGACTGTAGTACAGCACTGGATCAGAAACTGTGACAACTGTCTCTCGGACTCCTTCTTCAAAATCACTGTCAGAGTCATGTGAACTCACGTTGTGGCCATGGAATTGGGTCCAAAGTTCTGGGTCTGAGCATTCTTCCATGGGGCTTCTCAAATACCGCAGCTCTCGTTCTCCAGCTGTTTCAGCCTCTGGGTCTGGGATTCTATCCAACGCATCGGTTACTGCAGCAAGTGAAGTGCTGACGGCACGGACTTGGGTCTCCAGCTGTCGAATGCGTTCAAGCGAAGACTCCAACTGTTCCTGAACCCTGCTAAATGCATCTGATCACAAATACCACCACAACTGCGCAAATGAGAAACATTGTTTCCATCAAAGGAATGTATGGACGCTCAACAAAAAATCCAGGGCTCAAGGCGTCAGCTTCTGTCATCATAGTCATCAGCATGATGAATTGGAGAGACCTCTTTGCGGACATGACGGACTTGTGAGTGGGAAGCTCTCCTGAACTTTGAATCATCAAACGCAAGACCTGAGAGACGCTCTCACCCTGCTGATCACGCATGTGGACATCAGTCCCAACGAGCTCATTGGTGGACTCATTATAGATTCCGACCATGCGCATGAGGTACTCCATACGATCTCTGCTGAGCTTCTTCGTGGCAAGATCTGCTGTGTTCTTCTTGGTTGGGATCGATGCAGTTTCAAGTCTCTTGTCTTTCGCATGCTGTTGAATCCACAGCAAACGGCATGAAAGATGTCTGACTCTTCCAACGCCTGACCTTTGGAGAATGTGGCGAGCGGCCGTGTTGTCCAATGACAGCTTCAACCTGACATGATAACCGAGGCAGAAAATCAAACACAGCTGTAAAAGCATGCCGTCACAAACGGTGGAAACTGCTGCAACAACTTCTGCTTCTGCTGAACTCAATGAAATGATCCTCTGAGTCCTGCTTGTGGCCAGAAGCAAACATCCTGCAAAGAATGCAAATCCTGCGGAGACAGATCTGCGGGTGGCCTTGTGGGTGGCCCAATCTGAGTCAGAAAACAGCTCAAGCACTGGACCTTCGTCAGTCTCCGGAGAATGCCACAATCCGTTGGGTTTCACCTTAAGTCGAAGTACATTGTGCCTGACGCTGATGCGATACAGACACAGACGCCGCAAGAGCACCCAACTTCGCTGTGTAGGCTTTGCCATGTATTGGGCAAGTCTTCTGATTGTGTAAGCACACTCAATCAAGTCTGACGACAAATACATCAGAACTCCAATTGCACTTCGGTACAAGGATGCCTTTGCAGGATCCAGTTCATTGGTTTTGTCTGGCTCATTCATCAAGTCATGACACGGTGTCTTCTTGGCGTGCATAGAGACCTTCACACCTGTGATTTCAAACAACTTGTCAAAGTGACGTGAGTTGCGCTGGATGTGGATCGTGCCTGGTTCAACAAGCACATGAGTCCTTTTGAGGAATTCGATGGAATCACCCACGGATGACATCACCTGCACGGAAGTTTTGTGCCTGGAGTTCACGGTTGGCACCAAAATGTCATGAAAGTATCGCTCTTCAGCAACAATCAACATGTCGTCAACATGAAACTGCTAAATTGTTCCATGCATTGGCCGAGTCTGAGTTCGAGGCAGGCGATGCCAGCAAACATGGGTATCCCTTGCAGTCGTGGAAATTCAGGTTATGAGCGAGGAAACCTGTCACGTGTTCATACCAAAGCTGGCTGCCATCTCTCTGACCAGGTAGCACCTTCCCAAGTGCATAGCTGAGGCCTTCACAAGTTACAATCACTGGATCAACTTGGTCGACGCAAAGGAAGGCATCGCCAATGTCCATGGAAGCCAGAACAAAATTCTGTTGTGGATGCTTGTTCAGCAAATACAAATACAAGGAAGGAAGGAGTTTACTCGTGCAGCTACTGGAAGCGGGAGAAAACAAATCTCGCCGATCTGGAGTTAACCAGCTGTATTCCCTTGCCACAAAACGTGCTCTCCTGAGCCAACATGCTCTGCCGTCCATTGTCTTGGACCTCCATGTAATGACATGTAATGACAAACGCGCGGAAAGCTTCTTGGTCTTGGATGGGTCAGTGGAATCGATGGGAAGCAAAACACCCATTCGAACAAGCCGAAGAGTCTCCTGCTCAGCAATGGAGTCGATCTCTGCCATATGTGCAGGGGAAAGCACAGGCTCATGTTGCGAGAATGGGAAAATAAGCTGCGGCATGAGACCGTCCAACTCCGAGTCGCCTAAGTCCCAATCTTCCCATTTGTCTTGAAGCTCGTGGTCGTAGAGCTCCAGCTGATCAACATCCGCATCTGAAAGCGTGGTGAGGTTCTGGTCATCCTCATGCTCATACTCCATGTCAGACATCTTACTGACACGAGCTTTCTTGGAAGGACTTCCAGGTTCGGCAACTTCAACGTTGGACATGCCAGGCTTTACATCACGCAAAACTCCTGGACCTCTTGGGGAAGCTGGTGCTGCCAAAGCAGCATTTGGAGGTGGCGCCGCCATGTGAGCCACTGCGATTTCATGTGTTGATAGGCCCTGTGCATCACTTCGCAGAGGTGTGGACAACCCGCTGCCCAATCCAAGTGATGGGACTGGCACAAATGGTGTCGGTGGCTCCGAGGCTGCTTCATCTGGGGTTTGTTGAACTGTTTGAGCATCCTTGGGAACAACCATTGCTGGCACTGATACCCGTGGGTGGAGTGCCGTTTGGGCACATACAGACGTGTGCACAAAGTATTGAGGAGTCACTCCCACGCTCCCTAAGGAATCAAGAGACCATGGATTGGGAATCCTTCTCACTGACCTTGTGATGAAAAGCCCATTGTTGCAATACACCACGTTGGCATCATTCAGAAATGTCTTTCCAAGCCACACCCCACGACACCACGCTGGTAAGCCCTTTGCAATAGGCTTGAGATAGCCCATGGCGCACTCACCGAAATAGCATAGTTTGCCTGTGTACACTTTTCCCGTACAACGTTCAAATGGCGTGAGAGACCGAGAAGCGATTGTGAAGGAAACTTGCATAGCCCAATGATAAAGTGGATGATTGCTGGGGAAAATCATGCGATCTGTCACACCACAAAGCGTTTCGACCTGCTGAATCAAAAGGTTTGCTTGGTTCCTAAGAACTTGGACTGTGATCTCTGCACCTCCATTTGCTTCACTGTTTCCTGGAACTGTACGTTCAACGACTGTGTGAATCCCAAGGCCTTTGAAGGCCCTGCGCACAGAATCCAGAAGCGCCAAAGTGGATGGTTCGTTGTCGCACCTAAGGCCAACTTGTTGGTGGCCTGTCCAAATCACAAACCTGCAGAGCTCTGAAGTCAAATATGGAAGACTAGCACCGCCCTTCGTCAATGAGGGGACCGCATGCTTAACTTTCCCACTAGTCGCCAGAAGACAACACCTCCGAGATACAAATCAAAATGAAACGAAACCAAACACAAATAAAAACGACAGGCACATGTAAAATCGCAGATCACTCGCTCCATCGCATTCTTTTTTCTCGCACGGCTCTGGGGAAATCAAAAGTGCATATGTGGCCATCCCTGTTTCATACACATGCGAAGCTGCATCGCTCCGTCTGGCATCAGGCCTTTTCACAGGCAACCAGGTGACATACCATGTGTCATCCAAAAACCAGGTAAACATCTCTCCACATCGAAGAGAAAGGCCATTGTCACTTTCCCAAGCTGCAAAACTGATCTGAAAGACACTTTCGTCACTGTTCCAGATGTTGTAGTTCAGTACCAGGTAAGGTGTTCACCACCGTCTGGATTCCGAAGGTTGATCGGAAATGCGGCTGGAGAAGAGGCCGCCGCTGGAGCATCGGTCGAAGGTGGTGAGGACGTTGCTGCAGACGCCAGCTGCAGGGTCCTGCATCGCTGTTTGAGCATCAGCATGCCTTCGATCGTGCGAAAGATCAAGGCGGCATCGCTCAACGTCTGATCCAGTTCGCTGTGCAAGGTAGCATCGTAGTGTTGGTGAAACCACAGCTGGAAGGCCTCGAGGGCTCGTGTAGGTGCCGCATTGTCGAACTCATCGAGCAGCAAGTCCGAAAGTGGACGGGGCTCGACCGGGAGGTCCAGGTTCAATGGAGTGTCCGGTGGCTGGCCAGGCCAGAGCACCTGCTCCATAGAATGGAGTGCTTGCGAAAGCTGCCACCAAAGCGTCCACAGGGAGCGCAAAAAGGGTGGTCGTCCGCACCGGCGCAGTACTGACCGGGCACTGGTGATCATCTGATCAAATTGAAGCACCCTGGCTTCTTGTTCCGTGAGCTCTTGATGCTCCAGGAAGGCGAATGATATCGATACCACCGCGGTCAGGTTCACCATTCCCTCTGGTGTCATCGTGGGTTGAGTGCGGAGAGGCCACTTGAATTGAAAATCTGAGAAAGCCGGAACTTCACTGTGAAGTGACGGCAATGCAATGCAAGTATGCAACAATCAGCTGCAAGTCACGGAAGTGCTGTGTGTTTGTCATGAAAAGAGCTAAAGGTGGAAAATTTACACCATAATGCTGGCCCAGGGCGGGAGAAAAGACATTTTGGGTCGGGACAGGCCAGCTTGAAATGACAAACTTTAAACGGGTGACATGAAATGAGTGAGTTACCAAGACCTAAACTGTGATTGCACAAACTCTGATTTCAAGGAAAACATGTTGACATCTGAAACTGCGTGCAGGTTAAGATTTGGCAAGGTTCTCGAAACAGTTTAGGTTTGTTTTGCAGGTTGGTGATCTTGCAAGTGGATATGTCGTTGCAAACATTTTTACACGGTTTGGTTTTACCAAGAGCCGGGCATACGATGCTCAGAGAGCAAAGGCAAAGAGGTAGGTCTTCTTGGCTAAAAAGTTTTTGGGGCACGAAAACTTTTTCCCGTTAGTAAATTTAAGGCGCTATCAACGTTGTTGACCGCATGCTTAACTTTCCCACTAGTCGCCAGAAGACAACACCTCCGAGATACAAATCAAAATGAAACGAAACCAAACACAAATAAAAACGACAGGCACATGTAAAATCGCAGATCACTCGCTCCATCGCATTCTTTTTTCTCGCACGGCTCTGGGGAAATCAAAAGTGCATATGTGGCCATCCCTGTTTCATACACATGCGAAGCTGCATCGCTCCGTCTGGCATCAGGCCTTTTCACAGGCAACCAGGTGACATACCATGTGTCATCCAAAAACCAGGTAAACATCTCTCCACATCGAAGAGAAAGGCCATTGTCACTTTCCCCAGTTTAACCGTCCTTGATGCATGACAAGATCTTTTCCAAAACTAAATTTACATAACCTGATGGAGTAAACTTCACGGAGATTCCTTCATCACTATTGCGTGAGGGGGCATCAGCTATGTTGCTCAAAGATGGGACACGGGCGTACCATGCAATGAGCCCGATGGAGTCTTCCAAACGGAGAAGCTCAGAAACAAGGCTGAGGCCAGGCTGCGTCCTAGCCCGGCCAGCAATAGCAACATCTCTGGTGGCATTGTTATCGACATAGCAGACGCAAGGCCGTCCGCGCACCTGCTTCTTCCAAAGAACAAGACCTACCAGCAGTGCCATGAGTTCCGCTTCAAAAATGACTGTCGACTTTGCAGGGTAACCCAAGATGTTCAAGGCGGCAAAATCGAGCTTGCAAGAGAAGGCAGCCAATTGAGTTCCAGTGCTATCCAAAAGGACGCCCCCCAAACCACATGGCCAGTCTGCATTTTCAGGGCTGAAGCTGGCGTCGGTAAATAGGAATAAAGGACTATCCCAGGATGGGGTTACTTCACGGGGTCTATGGCTAATGAGGCACTCTTTAAACAGGAGGAGACAGCGAGCCAGGTCGTCGGTGACCGCCGCGCCACCCGTAGAGTAGGCATGGGCTGTTACTGCGTTCAAACAAAGTTTTGAGGCCCGTCCCCACAACTGTGCATTTGCGAACTGCATGCGCCCTCTAAGGGCCAAGGCCTCAGGTGAAGTCAAAGTCCTCTTAGAGACGATGCTGTCAATTTGGCTGGCAAGCTCAGTCGCACGTTGGGCGGTGTTTGTGAACCGAACAATGCCTTCTTCCCAGGCTGACAAGTCTATCTCTATACCAAGGGCCTTAAACTTGGTTGCAAAGGGTAGGTCCTTCTCACCAGAGGACACTGCCCAACCAAGCAGCTTGAAGAACTGGTTGATCACAACGGATAGGGAGTCACACTCCTGGTCCTGAGCAAGGGTGATAAAATCATCGAAGAAATTCGACCAAGGCAACTTCAACGCTTTGCACCCCAACCACCAAAGCGAGTGAGCGACCCGCAGGAATCCGTAAACTGATCTAGAGGCCCCGAAAGGGAGGGCTCTCATTGCATAGATCTTTGGGGATCGGGAAGAAGGATCAAAAACTGCGATGTAGGAAACCCAGCGAGAACTGGGAGATACAGCTAGTTGCCTATAGGCCGCAGAGAGATCGACCGTCTTGCCCTTCCAACATTTCCCAGGAGATGACCGCAGCAGCTCCATGCACAGGGCGGCTACCACGTCGAGGGTGTGAAGCTTGGAGCAACTATCCACCTGCACGGTAGAGTTTACACCGGAGGCGCTAAAATCATCTATGAGTCTCACCTTAAGTTTTTCACCAGAACCCTGCTTGATGCCGAAGCGGCGGCTGACCACCGCGTCTTCAGGGAGTTCAGAAGCTTCAAAGGGGCCATCAAGCCACCCGCAGGCAAGTTCCTCCTGGGTCTTGGAGAACACCTCACTGTCGATGAAATCATCTCCAGAAGACCTGATTGAAGCGAGCATGCCAACTCTTGCTGATCGGGCGGTGGATGCCAGTTCAGCTTCTGTGATTTTGGCAGGCTTAAAACAGGGTTCAAAAGATGCCACATGCGGCGCTTTCCCAGAGAGGCAAACCCCCTCGATGACTTCGCCGAAAACTTCACTGTCTGGGTAACCGTAGTGCAGTAGCATTTCACGCCAGAGGAGCAAGCGCTTTGGAGCAAGGATCCCTCTCATAGCTTCGGGCAAAGTAGTATGCAGCTGAGCTTCTTTGTTGGAAAGCTCCCTTGCTCTGGCCAACCAATGCTTCAATACTCCCAAACGATGTTCAGCGACTTGTCTGGCAGAGTGGTTAACCACAAAATCAACTGCTTCTCTGAGTACATGAGGCAGGCGTGCCTCCTTCCCCACAGGGTGGCCAGCGACGACAGCTCGACTGATGAATTGGTCACACGACCTGTAAATACCAAAGGTCAGTCTCTTTGTGTCAGGGTCAATTTTTGGTTCAACTCCCCCAGTTAACCGTAGTGGTTTTTTGAGGAGGCATGCGCCAACGGGAACATTCATCCAGGGCGATGATAACTTTTCGCCCGGTGCAATTGGTGGATTTACACTGCGTTTGACTTCGACATCCAGGAAGGTTGCAAATTCGGAAACTAAGGGTGGCAGTTTGCTCGATTTAGGCTGGACTCCTGTGACAGACCTGAGATATTGATACGAAAGCTCATCAGGCATAGCCAATTCGCCCATAGGCGGTGTCCACCCTTTCGAGACAACATGTTGAGCAATGAAAAACGCAATATGAAATGCAAGTTTCATGGGGTAGGCAGTCTCCTCTGCTGTTGAAAAAGTGGTTCCCCCCTTGGCCAGGCCCCAAGGTTTGTGTTTGTGATGAGGACCTACCCCTGGGCAAATATCATTTAGGCACTGCAAGGTGTCTGTGTTGTGGGCCAGGAGCGTCCACTTCGGGCGTTCCGATCCGTATGCGCATGCTTGGTGAACTGTGTATGTGAGCAGGCTCTTTAATGGTGCAAAAAATGAAGTTCTCCAAAAAAGTGATGAGCGAGGATTTTCAATACAAATCAACTTTTGTGACTCGAGACAGAGCAGTGCAATCTTCGCGATGAAGGCATATAATGTATTTGCTGAATTCACTCGAGCACGCTCGAGTTTGGTCATGTGCAAAATACCATCAGGCATGGCATCAGTTCTCAGTGGCTTAGGACCAGGTACCCATTTGCCGTTGGGAAGGCGCACGGGTATTCCTCTGGCTCTGCTACAGGTTCCACACGGCGGTGCTGCAAACACCCCCATGCAATGGGGTGAAGAGAGCCATTGAATGCAGAGCGCTTGCCCTTCATCAGATGTCAGGTCGGCTGTGAGCAATCGACCGGAGTTGCGTTGGCGCTTGTGATCAACTCCAAATGAGGATTTCAGTCCAAAGTATTGTAGGCATGATGTCACTCTGGCGGAACCTGCACACAGTTGTATGATGAAGGGATCATTGCTTACGGCGTGAGGATCTGTCATTGCAGTGTTGGCCTCACTGGCTAGCGTTGGGGCTGCATATGGTTTGGCAAAATCTTGGTGCAAGTGAATTTCGGGTGTCTGCACATGCGACCTGGTCTCAGGTTGAGGTCGCTGCGAGTCAGAAGCGCTTGGCTGCTGCAAGTGCTTGGGAGAATCAAATTGCAAAAATTCATCTGGCAAACTTCTTCGGGAATGCTTTTGCATCGAATTGGGCTCAGGCAAGGTCAAATCTTCACAATCAGCTTTGCGCTTAAAAGCCTTTTCATGCTCGGTAACTGCTTTGGCTTGGCCAGGGAGTCAAGCCTTCTTGTGATCCAACATACAATGTTGGCCATAGCAGATGGCGCAAACATGGTATCCTTTTTTGCAGCGTGAGCCTTCCACCATCTCTTTGCACTTATTCATTTAAGGAAACCGCTGTTCTTTACAAAATCTCTGCGAAAGTCGTCGTCGTCGACGTAAAAAATTAAAACATAACGAAAACGTCAGCACTCGAGAGAAACAAAGTTGAAAAGTCACTCCTGAAACAGCCGCACCTTTTTCTCTGAGCAGTTGGGGAAAAATCAGTGTGCCCGTGCTCTCCCCGTATTGGAAAAGCGCACTAAAGAAGGTTCTCAAGAATTTTGCTCCAGTCTACCTTCACTTCTTTGGACCCCAACTGTATCACTTCGGTGCAATCCAAACGGCTAGGTCCGTCTGAAATATTGGAGTGGCTTGGTACCCTGGCATACCAGGACTTCAACCGCAGAGTGCTTTCGCTTTCCATTATGTTTTGAACAAGCAGGCTTCCAAGTTGCGTGCCTCCACAACCTTTGCACAAGGCTGCCCTGGCTGCATCATTGTCAAGGTAAAACACTGCGTGGGTCGAGCTTAAAAAGCTTCCCCACAAACTGATGGCAATGTGGATCGGCAAAAGCTCGAGCTCGTAAATTGGGTTGGACGACTCAGCTAACGCTCGCGACATGAACTCAAGAGGGATCATGCTTGAAAAATGTTGTAGGCAACGTCCGGTCCTGTCAACAGTGACTCCACCGACACTGCCCTGCTTTTCGTCCTCACCTTCACACGCT